GAGCGCATGGACTGGCCAGCTCGCTCAGCTGAATGTAATCCAATAGAGCACAGTCATGTGGAATAAGTTGCATGTTAGAATTTAGAATTTCAGTTCGCCTGCTGCTAGTTTGAACTATCCAGGAGCTTGGAGCCATGTTTGTTCATGAGTGGGCAGCCATACCGTTAGAACGATCACAAACCTAACAGTGAGTGTGAAAAGGCGCTGCGCTGCCAAGCTGTCATTGATAGTCACGGGTCATACAGAATTAAGTCAAAACTGTAAAAAAATCCAATTTAACAAATTTGGAGAACACGCTGCATGTTCTGAAATCCTCAAAGAGGGGGTCATCCTCTTCTCTAGCATAAAAGCAAAGCAGTGTAAATCTCATTTATAGAGTTAAATTCGTCATTCAGCTTAATTGATAAAATATTAAATCAACATATAAAATCTTTCGCAAGGCGTTAATTAAATTATCCCAGAAAATATTCACACTTAAACATATGGTGCTTAGCAAAAGTTGAGTAGTATATTAACATTAATTAAACAATATTGCTTCGGCCTGCGTTTACTGTGCATCTATGTCCTATTTCTAATTGAAAATATCAACTGAGGCTTATTCACAGTTCGATCGAGAGGCTTCAATTCGTTGACGGCAGTGAGGATGGAAGAAAACATTTCCGCCCAAGTTTCGTTTTCATAGTTAAAAGCTTTAAAGTTTGGGTGACTAATAATATTATCTAGAAATAACAGAACAGTACTATCAATAGTTAGCTAGGCATGTTGCATGAAATGTTCCAGAAAATTCTGGAAAGGTGTGATGAACTAATGCATCTAGCGGCCTTTTAATCATGCTGAAGACGTTTTGAAATGCAGGAACGTAAACAAACGTATGATCTTTACTTGTTTAGAAACTTGAAATTCTGTGACTGTTGTGTGGCGAAAATGTCTAACCTGTGATCCTCTTTCATTATTTTATTTCATTTAGTTCTGCCCATGCATTTCTGCAGATGTTTGTAAATTCGAAAACTTCATAATTCCAATACATACCTTTTAATTCTCCTTAAGCTGATGCTAGGGGTTGGACGGTTACTTGCACTTTCCGTTACCGTCCAGCGAAACCGAGACTGCAACATTTACAATTACGTATTATGTCGTTTTAAAAAATGCGTTCTTTAGGGTTCCGTTTTTTCTGTTTTACATCGAACTATGTACGAAAGCCTCAAAACAGAATACATGTAAATGATGATTGATAATTGTTGTATCTGGAATTAACCTTAGTATATAGATATGTTTTACATATATGTTTTCATATACAGTTTTTCATATGAAAGATAGTTATCAAGCTAGTACGTTAGTACTTTTTTGTCAATATTAACTATACTATGTCTTAGGTTCTCATTCCTGCCAAAACGAACCAATTATGTTCGAGTACTGACCAACGGTACGTTTCGGATATCACTTTACGTGAAAAAAGTAAGCTATTAAATAAATGTTAATCAATGACAGGGCTAATGGCAATTCTAAATGATCGGACGAATGACATTTGATATATACGAAAGTAGCCAAAAATGTGTTGTAACTAACGGCACAACTTTTAAATTCTATACGAATATTTCAGATTGCTTAAGATATATTTATTAAAGTATTTGTAATTTTTAGACCTATTAGTATCTTGAAAGCTCAATTGTCATTTTTAAATGTATGAAAATAGCTTTTAACTATGTAGAAACAATTTGCAAGATACATATATGTTGTGATAAATTTGCAGATAATGTCTTATAGTCATTGAGTCATAGTCATAGACTCTTGTTACTGTGTCGGAGGGGGGCTGTGTTCATTGAACGCCGCCTTTCCTTGATGTTCTTGTTTATCATATTTTTGATTGAGGCTGTACATGCGAGATAATGAATAAGTGGAAGTCACATTTTACTTTTATTGTAACACCATCCATTTCCTCTCACGAGCCTCTCATCAATTTCTATAAATAAGTGTAATAGAAGTAGAATTTAAGCATCATTTTAAAATAATTTTCGAATGTACCGATTTATCTGAATATTCAGAGATATTATTCAAATAAATACATTATATCCTGCCACAAATGTGAAGTGAACTTGTCTTACTTTCAATGTAGGAAGTGGCCTTTGCGACTTCCATACCTTCGATATCAAATTGTTCTGATTTAGAGAAAAAATATCTAGAAAAAAGATGTGACCGCTTGGCATAAAAACAGCAACAACGAAAAATGAAAAAAATGCTGATTTGGTTTGATCGAGTCTGTCTATGGAAGAAAATATTGGAGTACAACAAGCCTAACGCCCCAAGCAGCGGTTTATGTAGTATTCAAACTTCAATAATTACGTGCTTAATTCATAGATCCCCGAGGATCAATAAAAGATAACAACACTAAAGTGAAGTACCAGACAATTTTATAGCTGCCGCTCGGTACCTAACAACTGCAGTTGTGAAGTATGAAAATCTGGAAAACAGGTGATCACTTGGAACTTCAGCAGATTGCATATATGTTGTGGTAGTCTGTCTTTATACTAATAGTAAAGGTACTGTTTATGCGGTTGCACGATAGCTGCACAACAGAATACTTGCAACCGTGTTCGTGAAAAGGACTTCAGTGAGCCGTTGAGATTATTCACCTTTCTTCAGCTCTTATGGACACGTTCAATCCATGCCAATATACGTACTTGAAATGCTAGATTCCCAATTAGGTAAGTCTTCGTGCTTCAGTAAGTGATCTATTAAAGATCAACCAGATTCGATTACAAAAAGGTAAATGTCTTCCAGATGTTATTAGTTATTTTATATTCTTAAAATATATCAATTATCTCTTAAAATAATTGGTATCAGTTATCTCTGCGAGCAAAATGTTGCAAATGCCTTTCAGGAAATAACATCAAGTATAGTTAAGTTTGCTAATATGACCAAATTTCTGGCTTTCTCAAAGTCATTCTATACAGAATATCTGAATAATTTCGTCTAAAATAGAAGTTGGCTCAGACAAAACAAAACCACAAACCAATGCTAAAATGCTAACAGAAGCAATCAACAATGGCATAAATCAAACAATTAAATTGTCTAATATTTAAAAAATAATCGCTAAAAACGCCCAAAACGGGAAAATAAAAAATGTTGCAGATTCCATTTGACTGAGCCTATTAATGGACGGTACTAGCTGGTAACTTAAAGCTACCGTTCACACTCCCTTGCACCGGCTCAAGCAGAATTCAACAAATAACACGACATGGTGAAAATTTGAATTTTAGAAATATCCGCAAATGGATTCATACGGCGGATATTAAGTAAATCTCAAAGAGAAAAAAATAGGGAAAAAGTGGGCAGAAGTAAATGAAGTTAAAATTTGAAAGGGGTCAAAGGTTATGAAGCCAGTATACTACAGATAAATTGTCAAAGTAAAAATTTAAAGGCAGATAAAATATCCTAAGGGTGATTTTACAGTATTCATGTAAGGAATACTCGAACCACACAGCAAGAAAAAAAGCAAAATAGATAAAACTGAACACAACAATAAAATCAGACTGAATAATCTACTAGGATCGGAAATATGATAGTCTGCATTCATCAACGTCGGCAATCCAAACACAAAACAAAACAAACAAGATAAAAATCCGAGGCCTTGGCATACTCGGATAACATTAGAAAAAATAATTAACAAAAGTACATATCCTAGTACATCAGGCAATATTAAAAAAAACTATACGATGTTTTATTTATAGAAGCATGAATATGAAAATCAGACCATAACTAAGCTTCCAGAAATAAATCTGCTATATTTCCTTTAAAGCAAATGCCTTAACGAGGTTAATGCTTTCAATTTCATAAATGATGAATAAAAATGCATCTGTATATAAACAGAGATTTTTTATAACGTTATATAAAGTTGCATGACATAAATGTGCCCTAGGGACACTTTTCCAATAAGCATGTATTTTTTTAGAGTATGTGTTAGAGGCAAATCATAGTTTAGATCTGGTAGGATTTTCTTCTCGCTTTCAAGAATGTAACAGGGAGTCGGACTTTCTATTTGAAAGAAAATGACCGGCCAAATCTTCACTTATTTGAGCAAATACTCACTATGGAACAAGTCGTCAGTGGGGCGAATATCGTATCGATTTATGCAGGGAATATAAATAAACACATACAATGTTATCACATATATCAACTTGCATATATATAAAAACATACACATGTATAAATGCAACAAAAATAATTATAAGATTGATTAATGAGTATGTTCTATGTTACCCTAGGATTGCCCATTAAGCTAAAAGCTTATTTCCAATGGGGTCCATTTACTGTAAAATTATTATACTAACTTACATAATAATAATTGAATTATAAAGAAGTTAAAATAAATGACAATTTTCAATAATCAAGACACATTTTTTTCAATATAATAAGACAAGAACATTGTACACAAACAAAATAACATAAATTTCGTTTAAACTAAAACATATCATGTACAAAATAAACATGTTACAAAACCTTATCATAAGTTACACATCAATTTAATAATAAATAAACATATTATTCACTTGTTTATCATTTTTATTACTTAAAAAAAGTTTTACTTTCGTTTTAAATGTTTGGATATTGTCAATAGATTAATGTTGTCTAGTAAAGAATTCCAGTCTTTTATGGCATTGTAGAAAAATGTGTTTTTTAACATCAGAATCATTTTGAGGCAAAACAAAATTAAAATTACTAGATATTAAATTGGATATTCTACAAACCTTAAACAATTCCTTTAAATAAGAAGGGCTTTTGTTGTAATAAACTTTATGAATGTGGTTGAGCATAGCTATTATAATTTTAATACAGTTTTATTTATTGCTCGAAAATGAAAAATTCGTTGAGACAGTTTTCTGTTAGCAAAAAAAATATATTTATCTTAGAAACAGTGTATCAAAAAATAAACCGGTTTGGTGTCTCTTTCTGGTATTTACAAATCTTTCCGTGATTTGTCTTTCGTTTAGTTCTTCTGCAAATCCGGGCACTTTGTAGTAAATTTTCTCGATGTTGTGCATCAAAACTTGTAAAAAACACAATGTCTGTTACAAAAATATGATATAAACATACAGTTTAATTACATGACAGTTTCTTTCTTCCAATTTCTTTTGAATTATCAGTCATATTTTCTTTCAATTTCGTAAAACGTCAACCAAAGAAAAACGTTTGGGTAATCTCTTTCTCACTGAACTTTGCTCGGCTTATTTTGAAAATTTGATTGCATTTTTTTTTCACAAGTTATTTGACAAGTAAGAAAGGCGTTTGTTACTGGTTTTATCAGAGTCAGATTACCTCGCTTCTTCTTTTACAAGAGACAAGAGGGTAAGTACTCTGCAGATTATAGATATTTTTTTATAAATTGAACTGTTATTTTTTTGTACTTGTTGGTCACAGACATTTGGATTGAAGACACAATACTTTTTCGCCTCTGAATATTAAAAACAAAACTGGTCTTAATTTTTTGCATATATGAATATGAGTGTGGTTTGGGTTGGTAAAGAGTCATTTCGGCCCTATACCAACGATTTCAGGACTTTACACTAGTCCTATAAATATGACGTCGCTTTGAGATATTTTTGCTTCTGGGAAAGCAACGTCATATCGAAATTGCTCAAAAACCCATAGCATGTTCCGCCAGAAAATCGGGCGGAACGAAAAACAATGAAGACAGCGTGTATTTACATAAGTTTTGACCTATTTATGAACAAAACTAAAAAATAAATACCTTTTGTCAAAATAATTAAACTGTCACATCCGAAAAATCATGATTAAATCCTCTCATGTATTTCAATTCTTTTTACAGCCGATAAACAAATGGCGGCCATAAAGTGCGCGAAATCTGATTGGCTAATTCAAATGCAAGCGTTTAACCGAGTCAGAACAATCTAACGGAATATTTTTTTAACGAAATAATTGCCCATGCACCGTCAGTGTGTTCGAATATATTTTTCCGTTTAAATATTTGGAATCAATCTGTAAAGCACCTTGCTTAACCAGTATGACTGATAGACAAAAATAGATTGATGTTTATATTTTATTTTAAATTGATAAGTACATTGTTTGAGAGTTTTTGTGTATGATTGAGCATGAACTTGAAAGAAAAGAAGATAAGCTTTTGAATAAAGCTTGAAAGGCAAGACAAAAGACATTTTTTGAATTTTTTATGATGCTATGCGTTTTTGAGCAATACCTATTAGACATCAGGCTTGACCAACATAAACTATAACAAGCCTGTAACGTCTAATATATTGGACTAGACTTTACACCTCCTGGACTTTTCACCTTTGGTCTTTACACCTCCTGGACGTTTCACCTTTGGTCTTTACACCTCCTAGACATTTTTTTTGTGGTAACATATTTACTAAGAAATTTAACTTTAATTTGTGGTTTTGATACATTGTTAATTGAACGTACTGCAGTTCAGCAAATGATACGAACAAATACTCTTTTTACGAATTATTTTACCACTCAAATTATAATTATACTGGACAGGAACCAGTTTCCGGACAGAATTCGAGTTTTTTTTTAATTGTCTATTTTTAATAATAAACATGCATTAATAAAACAAACATACCAAAAACCTGAGCTCTAACTACGTCCGATAACACAATTAATACTGCCTGGTGACGTAAGCAATGTACAAACTGAAGGGTTAAATTAGGTGATTAAAAGTGTAAATTGTTCACTCTTGCAGAACCACTTTCCGGACATATATTAAGCTGCTATTCATATCTGTTTTTAACTGATAATTATTCTAATATAACAAAAAATTTCTTCTCACATATAAGCTTATTATATAATTAAGCTGATTTACTATAAAATGTTTATGATAGGAAAAATAACGATCACGTGATGGGTCTCGGAATGACTGAAAAGTGAAACGGATATTTTTGTGTGTACGGCAGCAACGAAGTGTAAAAGTGGAGTAAACCTAGCTAAACAGCGTTTTCTGATACGAAACAGATTTAGCTCTGGGGAATTACACCTAATGAACTTCGAATGAAGTACATTGTGCATTAATTGCTACCTCAAATTATATCCCGAAATAAACAAAATATTGCGCATGCTACTGTGTGTATATAATACAAAATATTAAAAATCTATAATAATATAAAACATTTCAGGAGGTGAAAAGACCAGGGTTTTGAGGGTGAAACGTCCAGGGGTGAAACATCCAGGAGGTGTAAAGTCCAAACACCATACCAACTTGGCCCACTTTACAGGGCTCATCCTGGGGGGAAATTTTAGGGAGAAGTGACTTCCTCGCGAAAATTAGGGAGAAGGGAAACAACCCAATGTGTATACATTAACATGCATGGCTATACATCCTTTAATTATAATATAAACACAATTAACATCAATTATAATATTTCTCCAGTTTATTAATTAATAGTAGATTAATTAATAGTAGTATTAATTAAAAGTAGATTAATTAGTAGTAGATCTGGCAATGGCATCTAAATGTTTTTGAGCTGCAAATATGAATATAAAAAATTATTTTTGATATCTATTGATCAGCTATTTATAAGCTTTCTCTAAATATGTGTTTATATATTTTCATGTACATTTGTTGATAATAATGTGTAAGAAAAGATATGATGATAAAATCAATTTCATATTTTTTCTTTCCTCACTTTTATTAGAAGATGAAGTCACCTTGGATATTGATTAATAAAATCTGTTCTATTCTGTTCTGGTAACAGAAATTTCTTTGAAAGTCCTGAATGTTGTAATGTCAGATTTATATGCATATAATTATGCTTATAAAACAATTTTCAAGCATCAAAGAATATGTAAAATGTGTACTGCAAACATTTGTGCACATTATATTTGATCACTAAAATTACATATATTCATTTCTTATTGAAAAATTTGACTGAGAAATTGTAGAAAATTAATTTCTAATTACCTCCCTTTATTTTCATGAAATGTTAAAATTCGGTAATATCTTTATAAATAATGCTTTTTAAAATTTACAATATTGATAAATCTTAATCTGAGCGTCATATTTACGACATTAAAACAAATATGTATATTGAAACAATAAGAACTCTTCTTCAAATTTTGTTGTTATATACGTTACATAATATACGACCGGGGATGTCTTGCCCACGTGTGTAAACTGTGTCAAATTTGGCAACAATGCCAAACACCCCCACTGTCTACAACATACCAATTGCAAGATTTTTGCGAAATGGTTTTCTTAAATTTTCGCGTAGGTGTATCAGAATCAGTAACTTTTTACTGCTAGGTTTTGGGCATTTCGCCCTGTAGCCATGACGTGAGCGACATAACAATTTTACAGTAAAAATTTGATGTTAACAGATTGAAATCATTCAAAACTATGATTAAGTTTTTAATCCGGCCGAAATTGATTATTTTTAATTGACTAACAGTTTTGTGATAGCCGTGAAAAATCCATTGCACATCGCCTTTACTCGGGTTAAAAACCCACCATCGAAGTGCATCGTGTATATCAATTAGGGAAGATTGCACGTGTTTAGATAATCGGGGGAAAAACAATGCATAATTATCGCCAAATCCCGTATTAAACTCGCAAAACTATCACACAATTATACCGTTCGGGCCGATGCTCTCATTATTTACTGTTTAGAGTAGGCGGTCTATCGCTTCGCTTACAGGTAGAAGGGTAGTATAAAGCGACGCTCTGATTGGATAATGATAATTAGCGGTCGTCATATGGGCGGATACAATCTCTGCTCTTTACATCGCTAAGTAATTACTATTTGGGAATTAAGATTTTATCGGCGATGTTGACTTCTCTTTGATCAATCGGAAGAGCGAAATTGGAATATACACGGCGAAGTTTTCGCCTGAATCGCCCTTCCGGATGAGCCCTGCTTTACAAAAATATATATACTGGTTGGAGAGGTAACTCCGACACTAAATCGCATATTTTTTGCAATATCTTAATTATCTTCCTGTATATTTTGAATATTGAACCACCTTAACAAAGTTCAGTTCAAAGACTTTACATTACACTATAAAAGTTATGTATGAAAATGGAATCTGGTACTTCTTCAAGGTCCTGAATGAGGTATACAAAACATGGTCAGGGCTCGACATTAACGGTTGTCCGACTGCCCGGGACAACTAAAAGTTTGGTCCGGGCAAGTTATTTTGAAAAGCACTTGTCCGACAGGCAAGTGAAAATAAAAAGCATCATTGACAAAATGCATGTACAAAATGAATAGAAATAACATCTTTTCATTTATAAACATCTTTAAAACAAAAATACACCATGAATCATTATCAATAATATGAATATACTACGGTCATGTACATTTGTTGATATAGGAATCGGAAGCAAAAATATGAGCATGCGCCGCGGTAAGGTAATTCCCCGTTCTAATAATAGTCTATATCTAATTTTGTACAAGGTAATTCCCGGGTTATGCTGTTGTTTAAATTTTGATGATGCATGTAAAGATATCATTGAAAATATGTAAATAATCATATTGATCTTTAAATATAATTGTTAAATAAAGTTTTTGCATTTAAAATGATTTATTGTTTAATCTAATATAACAACATTATGAACTTAGTCAACGAAGACTCGTTTACGGCTGTTGACTTGATGATTGAACAGGGAATTACTTACCGCGGCGCATGCTCATACATTATGTATTTTTCCTTCCGTTTCCTATATCAACAAATGTACATGACCGTAGTATATACACATTGAATTAACAGATGAACCGATGTTTTAGAAAAACTACTAAATACAAAAAATATTTGTGTCTACAGGGATCTGGTCAGGATTTTTAGTGAGAGATTTTCTCTCATTTGAGAAATTTTGATGAGAGAAATTAGATTTTCTTGAGAGATTTAATTTTCATGATGGGCGAGGTTAAAAATATGGAAATTTCTAACTTTTTAAAAATCACTGTACATATAAACATTGTTTATCTAATGAGGATATAAGAAGATGTAGCTCTGTTTATTACAGTGATTTTTGTTTTCACTTTTTTAACACATCCTATGCCTTTTCTTTTGTGATTTTTTAAACATAATAAAATTCTAATTGTGAAAAATAAATATAACACCTTTATTCTGAAATATAAAAGAATTATACATGGATATCTACTACAACTATTATTTGCAGTCAATGTTCCTAATGGACAACACTGTACTGTACAGAAGTGATTGTTGAGATTTGAAGAATATTTTTATAACCTTTCATTTTGTTTTCTTTATGATTCTCTTCACACACCTCCCTCCATTAAAAAATATACCTGAACACATAATGACAAATATCTCCATATCCACAAATATAAACAATAACTAAAGTAATTTTTATTCATAAACATCATTTTTAGTGTTATAAAACACCTTTAAATAACACTCGGCTTCCTTTTAGAATTTTTTTTAATCACGACATCGCGAAAATATGTGACAAATGAATATTTGTCTGTTTTCCGCTGAAACATTCACTATTCTAGCTGTTGCTGATTGCAATTATATAAAATTAAATATTTTTGTTCAATAAAAGAACATTTATTATCGGCTATTTCATCAGGAATCGTAAAACACATTTTTTTAATTTGTTCTTTACGGCAAAATTTACCGTGGTTGATGTGACATTTAGAAGACAAATTTTACCGGTAGATTTATTTTTGACATGTCCATTTTTATGTTAGTCTGTGTCTAAAAATTTTTATTAAAATCAATTAAAAGTGTTTTGTGTAAATTCTCGACTTACAGATAGATAAAGGTTAGCCATCATACCGAATTTCTGTACGGTGAATTTGCGGTCTCCGATCGGCAATTATTTTGGCTAAATAATTCAAAGTGTTGGACTACTTTTTGGAGTTTTTTACACCGATTTCATTAATAAACAATTTGAAATTAAATTCTTGATGGGAATCGTGAATTTTTCATCATATTTTTGTGTAATTTTAGCATTCCTTAGATTTTGTTTAGACATTTTCCAGCTCAAATTGCCGTGCGAGATTTTCTCTCATTTCACAAATTTCTCTGAGATTTTGGTGATATTTTTGCGAGAAATCGCGGAAATCGCCCCCTAGAATGATCCCTGTGTCTAACTAACAATCATAGACTTCCCGAAAGTTGAAAAAAACTGTCAGACATTCGGTCTGACAAACCATGAAAATCTGTCGGACCGAAACAAAATCTGTCGGACCAAATAAAATTGATCAAAATCAATGAAAAACTTGTGGTTGTATTTCTAAGACACTTTTTGTTTTTTATTTTTTCACCGTAAAATTCAACGAATCCGTACAGCGCATTTTCATCTCCTCCCTGTCATACACCAATGATTCATGGTTCTTCTTCCATTTTTCATTAAATTTTGTCTCAGGTCTATTCTTTTCATCCTTTTATTGCTGTTCTGCGCACTCTTCTGACGTAGATTTTCGTTTTTTCCCAGGTTTGGCACCTTTAGCAACGCCATTTTGTATACATGTGGCTTGGATAAAAGCCGGACAGTCGGACCGATCCGGACAAGCAAGTCTTAGGTCAGGGCAAGTAGTTTTAAAAACTACTTGCCTGACAGGACAACCTGATTCAAAAGTTAATGTCTAGGCCTGATGGTCTTTTTACCCCACAACAGTAGATAAAGTCGACAATTAATTTTTTTTTTAAGTAAAAAATGACTTGAAAATCTGCATCAATAATTTATTTTTACATCTTATATGTTTTATCTATTTTCTGTGAATATTTAAACAATTTTACAAAAATCTTTCCCAAGTCTGTGGTCAATACAATTCTAACATCCTAATTGTAATTTCGTAAAAAGAACGTTTTGAAGTAGTTTTGTCTACAAAAAATTTAGGTTATTTGAAAAACATAAAAAAGTTTACCAAATTATAAAAAAATCATCCCATTCTGTCCTGCTCTAATACTTTTAGGTGACCATGTGCTTGTTTGTTGAAAAACAAAGTTATAACAATTATATTTATCTAGTGTCGGGGTTATCTATGCGTCGGAGTTATCTCTCCGACCAGTAGCGTATTAACTTAGCTTTGCATGTTGTTAAGGTAAATGAATAATGAGAAATATCATATTATTATATAATTACACTTCTGCCGAAATAAGTACATGTAGAATTTTTTTTTAATGATGTGTCTTGCAGATTCGATAAAATTAATATAGATCTAATAAAAAAGTGTTTCCTTAGATATTTTTGTTTGTAAAGTAATATTTAAAAAAAATGAAACAAAATGTGTTTACTGTATATCATAAGCTTCTAATTAATTGCAGGTGGTCACTAATCAAATGAATGAATGAGTCAATCATAATTATCACCTAATTAATCGGTATCCTTAACATACACACTGATTGATAATAATAGCCAGTAACAATATATATTTCAACACATTGATTGTTTGACACTGAAGGTATTTAAATTTACGGTTAAACCTACCACGAGTCAGAAATACAGTGAGATATGCAATCGGTTATCTTTACTCGCAATTCTACGGATAAGAAAAGCCTGTCTGCTGCTAGTTCGGAAACTGTCAATAGGTGTGTTATAAATAATTACAATAATTACAGTAAATAGTGATAACAAAAACTGAAAAATTATTAACTGAAAAGTGGGCCGAGTTGACCCGTGCCGAGTTGGAATAGGGCCGAGCTGACCCGGATTCGTTTGGGTTTAGTGAACTTAGTTCAATATATCAGACAAAAGTTTTCTTTTTGTTTCATGCTCAATCATTATCAAAAACTCTCAATCAGTCAATGCAGTTATCCAGCAATATTTTTCCTTATATAAGTGGTACTGAATAACGGACCCATTCACAATCACGAACAGTCTTTCACAATTTTCAGAATGGGTCAGACGGACCTGTTCACAATTATGCCAAAATTCACAATCTACATATTAAACTTAAAATTTCATCTTTTTCCTGATTTTTTCTGATTTAAGTGATTAAAATCACAATTTGTCTTTGCATTGATGTATTGTATAAATAAGGTGGCGCGATAGCTCAGTTTGGGTTTTTCCCCCTGGGGTTATACTCCTGAGGTCCCCGGGGTTTGATCATGGGGGTTTCACCCTTTTGGATTTTTCAGAGACCCCTTTTTTTAGTGTTTCCCCCCCTACCTAGAGGTTGGGAGTTTGGGAAAAAAAACCGGTAATCCCAAACTGTATCATGCTTTTACACTGGGGATGTAAAGAAAACCCAAGGGGTTTTATTTTAATAAGGAAATAAGGACTGGGGTTTCCCCCCTTCCCTTGTAAACTCATTTCGTTTCTTTAATGGGATACCTGCTTAGGGGTAAAAGAAAAACAATTTTTAAAATAGTAACTTTTATGGTGTAGAAGTAGAATTTTAAAAAAAAACTCCTTTAAATTTCCCCATATTTTTTAAACCCAAAGGGGTTAAAATTGGGGTTCAATTTTATTCTTTAGATTTTTTTTTTTAAAGGGGTTTAAATTTAGTAAATGTCCCAAACCGGGGGAAAAAAAATTTTAAAAACCCCGGTCCCTTTCCCAAATTTAAAAAAAAACCCAGATTTTTAAAAAAAAGAATTTTCCCAAGCAGTATTTTTGATAAAATTTAAAAACCCCAAAAACAACTCTGTGGACAAAAGGTTTTTCAAAACTGGGAAAAAAAAGATTTTGGGCTTGAGTCGTACCCGTTTTCCTTTAAAAATAAAAGGGCCCTTTTTTTTGGGGAAAATTGGGGCAAAATTTTTTGAAAAATATTCTGGGGTTCCCAAATTTGTAAAATTGGGGAAAAAAATTTAGATTTAACCCAGAAGGTAAATATCAGGTATAATTTTATCAGAAGAAAAATTTCCTTTCCTTTAAAAGTGGTAAACATCTTTAAAAAAAAGGGGTTTTTTTTTATCCCAAAAAACATTTTCATCAAAATGTTTTGTTGATGTTGAAAATTTAGATGTCAAGAGTGTAATTATCTAGGTAACTTTCTATTTGATGTCATTCATTTTGTAATGTATTTATGTAGCTATTTTCTTTTGTGTGGCTAAAATGAACAATAGAGAGAATAATAGAGTAGCTACATATTTACTGTCCCGTTAGAACATCCGTCCATCCGTTTCCTTTCCATGCTATTGCTAGTTCTCTGCAACAACTGGCTGGAATTCAACGAAAATTTATTGGAACCCTTAATACCAAGAGGAGATGCGCATATCGTTGCCTTGTTCCGGTCAGACACTTTAAGTCAGAGTTATGGCCCTTGATTAGTTATGCAGTATGCATATAGAGCAAAAATTGTTTCTGCGCTACTTTTCTTAAAACTATTGGCTGGAATTCAACGAAACTTTATGGGAACCTTCAACACCAAGAGGAGATGTGCATATCCTTGCCTTGTTCCGGTCAGACACTTTAACTCGAGTTATGGTTAGATGTATGTGTAAGCCATAATTTTATTGACAAATTATTTAAGGTGAGGTATGGACAGGGAGTCGGATCGTGGTAGTAGTGAGGCAGGAAGTGGACGGGGCACGCCTCGGTCCCTTGACCATGAGACATTCAGAAGTGACACACCAGGAACAATGCCTACTTACCAGTACTCCTTGGTAAGGTTTATATTACTATTTTGTAATTACAGCCTATTTGTTTGATTTAGCTACTATGAAATAAAATGTTTTCAATAATCATAATGAGACAAGATTGGTTAAATATCATGTCAAAATTGATCCAATGTTTAAGACTTTTGACTTAGAGAACTTAGTTTCTATCTATTGAGATTTAATTAGTAAAAGCTTATAAAAAAAGGATATCAGAAATTGTGTTAATCTTTAATTACAAGAGTTTATACAAATGTCATATAGAGCTGTTAAGTAATTTGGAAAAAAAATGAGAATGCAGCAGGGTAGCTTAGTCAGTAGAAGTTCAGAGGGTCCCAAGTTTGAGACCTGTTCAGGCTTCACATTTTCTCACCATGTGACTCAGATGAAATTTATATATGAGCCGTGTCATGACAAAACCAACGTAATGCGTTTGCGACCAGCATGGATCCAGACCAGCCTGCGCATCCGCGCAGTCTGATATGGTTCAATGCTGTTCCCTTACAAACACTATTACAAAGTAGAGAAACTGATAGCAAACAGCATGAATCCTGATCAGACTGCGCGGATGCGCAGGCTGGTCTGGATCCATGCTGGTTGCAAACGCATTATGTTGGTTTTGGACAAGTATGTGTTGAAACCATCAAAGTAGACAAATTAGGGTGTTACTGGCAATTTGGTGCATTATCATGCTTGAATGCGGTAATTCACAAGGTTTTATTCTTCGACTGTAGACTGAGCATGTGTTGTTAGTAACAGTGTGAAATTTAAGAGGTTTAAAGCCCTTTCAAGGTCTAAAGTCCTATATTGCAAACATGCTAGATGAATACCAGAAATGTCATTTTGTTTTCAGATATGCATGATCATGGCTGAAAACTATAATACATGGTATCTGTTATGTAACATGTACATTTTATATGGATAGTATTTATATTCAGTAAACAGAATAAAAGATTCCCTAACCAAATATTGAAACGCAAATGTGTTATTGTCAATGATCAAGTGATCTTAAGAACCTTTTTTATTACATTAGATTTATTGTACTTATTATAAATTTACTTATCTTTTGTTTAACTGTTGTATAATTTTTGTTCTCTTACATTAGGATGAGCTGTACGAGTTAGAGAAAGCTCCTGCCTCACGCCTCGTTCCCGATTGCTTAGATAAAGAATTTATGTAAGTTTTTACCACTTTATCCTATAGCCTTCTGGCTGCAACTGAATCTACTACATTTTTTGCCGTCTGATCATGGTCTACAATGCTTACTATTATGTCTAGATATTTAGCCCAAAATGCTACAAATGGCATTTTAAAGCTTGAAAGATGGACAAGTCCATTAAAGATATTTAGAGCAGTAAGTAATAAAAATAGCATCGAAACACTAGGCTATCTGATTTGTACGAGGGGGCATAGCCGCCAAGTATTAATCAGCTTGCCGAGTGTTTTGATGTTCTTTCTCTTTTGTATCATAGTCAAACATAAAAACACGTTCCTTGTTGTCACAATATGAAACGCCAGAAAACAGTAACCAATGAACGAGCATCTGAATATGATATTTCTGTCGCTTTCCCATTTTCTGCTGTCACAATAAGTTAACCCCAGCAAAAATGAGCCTATCAATGGGCTTGCTCTGGAGTGCGGGTAACTAATATCTGCACTCCAGTTAACAGTGCATGTATATGTATACGATTTAACTCCGACACATTTTCAACAGAAAGGTCTCCAAAGTATGATACAAGCCACATGGGTTAATTAATTGTTTATAGTACGATTGAGGTTCATAACAAATGTCAGGACGAAATTTGTCCCAAAGCCAATATTTTTTACAGGATGATCTTACGTAGCTTAAAAAATTTAACGTTAATCTCGCTTTCAGTTCAACAATTCTGGTCAAAATCCATCTTATATATGTATGTGTTCCTATATAACAGGGTGGATGGTATATGGGACGCGGAGAAATGGCACCGGTCATTTGGAGGGGGCGGCACTGGGAGTAAGAGTGGTTCACGTGGACCGTCTCCTCTCAATCCGCTAGATCCCAGAGAAAGACGCAGTGAAATGCTGCGCAGAAATTCTGGTAAGTACTATTGTAAGATGGTTTTATCATGTTGTTCAATAAAGCTGATGATCTGATCAGAATTTTTATCTTCATTTTAACCTGTTTGGTAATAAGGGATTTAAGTGGTTAAACTCACTTTCTTTACTAGTTGCACAACCACATTCTTTGACCATTTGATTAATAAGGCTTAGAAAATATTTATAATAAGCATGGATGGATCTCTGGCATTGTTTAATTGACTACATTACAACTATAGTAAGGAAAATAAATATTTGCTATTTATTATTTAGTATGAAGGGTTAAATGTTGCTTGTACACAATGTAGTATTTACTACCTATAAAAAAACAATCATTAAATAAACAATCATTACTTCTTGAGGGATTGCTGTTATAACAAAGGAAATGATTATTCATAGTAAAAAAATGCTTATTTCCTTGATTCTTTTAAGCTCTGTTTACAAATTGCATTATAATCTGAAGTTAACTATATATCAATACATATGTATATTTACAGGTAGCTCTGCTAATCCAAAAGACCGTCTGAAGGAAGAGAAAGACATGATTGTGTTAAGTCCACAGAGGAGAAGTTTCGGCACGGGATGTCACGTGTCCCAGCAACCTCTGTTGCAACGTGCCATCAGCAACATGGAAACTGATAGGGAGAGGTATCCAGAGTGTATTTTTATTTTGTTTTGAACAGTTTGTAATATCAAAATATTACTTTGTCTCTTGCAGTGCAAGCATTGGCTTAAAAGAATCTGTAATCAATTATGGTAGTAGAATAATAAAACCGGGAACGTTTCTGGGATTATCCCTGAATTTTATAATTTTCAGTCCCTCTAAAGGTATTTTTCAATTTGAATCTGGAAGTTGCTTAGTACAGCACTTCCATGTTTAAATAAAAATGAAATGTTCAAGTCTGTACTGAAAAGAAACTGGCATAAGTTATAAAAAAGTAATAGTGCAATATGGCCAGACTTGCCTTCTTATTTTTGCAATATGACCAGGCCCTATTTGTTGGCAGAATAACTTTGAATTTCAACTTGATGTCCTCAAAATTGAGAATAGACAACTCCTTAATTTGGAGTTGGACAAGTCCAGTTAAGACATTCAGCAGCTAAGTGGTTATGAATTGTAATAAATTTGAGCCGCATCACGACAAAACCAACATAATGAGTTTGCGACCAGCATGGATCCAGACCAGCCTGCGCATCTGCGCAGTCTGATCAGGATCCATGCTGTTCGCTATAAGTTTCTCTACTTGTTATGGGGTTGGTAAACGAACAGCATGGATCCTGATCAGACTATCCATGCTAGTCGCAACCCCATTATGTTGGTTTTGTCGTGATGCGGCTCATTTATAATCTACACACTTGGCTATCTAAAATATGTATGTCATGTTTGTTTGATGAATGATATCAGATTTGCTTGCTTAGCTGCCATACAGAATGCAGTCAGGTAAAGATACACAGACATGTAATATATATATATTGTATATAATTCTCTAATATGAAGTGAAAAAATGAAATGCTTGCACTTTTAATTATAAATTTTTTGTTTTTATTTTTAAATTATAGACGGGAGCAGCGAAGAATAGGTAGTGGTCGTATTCAGATTGATCGAGAGAGAGGTAGGGACCAAGATTTCAGATCTGAGAGAGAATACAGGAACGAAAGAGGACAAGAAAGACCTGAACGGGACAGTAGGGACTTTAGGTAATGTGATTAAACAGATTTCTTCAGTATCTATGGTCAGAATATTGCTGAACACTTTCTCTCATTTTGAGATGTTGGATATGTCTGGAAGCAAGAAATGAAATTGATTTAGATTTTTGTGCCCCCACGTTAGTGGCGGGCATTTAGATTTACCCTTGTCCGTCCGTCCGTCCTTCCTTCCGTCCGTCCGTCCATCCGTCCGTTCACTTTTGTGTCGCATGTAACTCAAAAAGTATTTGACCTGGTGTCATGAAACTTTACAGGGATGTTGATCAGCATGTGTAGTTGTGCACCTGGGTTTTTTCGTCTGGATATTTTTAGTATTTTCAGAGTTAATGCCCTTGACTTAGTAAAATTTTGCCAATTTTCAACTTGATGTCGCCATGTAACTCAAAAAGTATTTGACCTAGAGTCATGAAACTTTACAGGAATGTATTTTTTGATCAGCATGTGTTGTTGTGCACTGGGTTATTTTCGTCTGGATATATTATAGTATTTTCAGAGTTAATGCCTTATTAGTAAAAATTTTTGCAATTTTCAACTTGTGTCGCACGTAACTCAAAAAGTATTTGACCTACAGTCATGAAACTTTACAGGAATGTTTTGATCGCATGTGTAGTTGTGCACCTGGGTATTTTGTCTGAATATTTATAGTATTTTCAGAGTTATTGCCCTTGACTTAGTAAATTTTTGCAATTTTCAACATGTGTCGCACGTAACTCAAAAAGTATTTGACCTAGAGTCATGTTACTTTACAGGAATATTGATCAGCATGTGCAAGTTGTGCACCGGGAATTTTGGGTCGGGATTTTTTTAAGTTTTTTTTAGAGTTATTGCCCTTCACTTAGAAAATTTTTGAAATTTTTAAACTTGTGTCCCCAAATTTTACTAAAAAAGGATTTAAACCATAGCCCCTTTAAAACCCTTTTTGGGCAGGTTGCTCAGCATTTTTTACTTTTTGCCCCTGGGCTTTCGCTTTGGGTTTTACCCGTTTTTGTAAAAGTTTTTTTCCCCCTTGCCCTTTGGGTAAAAAGATTACAAAAACAGGGGCGTGGGGGGGGCCCCCGTTGCCCTTTAATTGGCCTTTTTCTTATTTTTTAACAAGAGAAAAGCAAAAATTGAACCCGGGCCCTTTTTTTAAATTAATTTTAAAATAAAGAAACTGAAAAAAATTTTAATTTAAAATTTTTTGTATGAAAAAAATTGCAAATGCCCTTAATATAAGTATAAAACTGGGAAATTAAATTTTCACATCTTCAATAATTTGATGATCATTTTTAAAGCAGAAAAAGTCACGGGAAATTTGAAAATTTAAAAGAGGGTTTTTAAATTTTTTTACTATCATTTTTTTAAAATCTGAAAGAAAAAGGGGAAAAATTTTTTAAAACTTTAAAAAAAAGAAACCTATCTCCTGCTGTTTTTTAAAACATTTATGTATACATTTTTAGTTAAATAAAAAAAAGTGTGGAAAAACCCAATTTAAAAACACCTAAGTAGGGTGAAGTTTATTTTAAATTATAACTAGTTATGAAATACATTTTGGGGAAATTACCCGGGTTTTGGATCTTTCATATCTGTTACTTGATTTTTTTAGTTCGAAAAAATGACAAACTTTTTAGAAAAAAATCCGAGAGTTTTCCCGGGAGGGGTAGAGATAATGACCGTAAATGGGGCCCAAAATTTTTTGGGAAACCCCACGGGGAAGGGGTTTTTGTGCGATAAATAGGAATTTTTAAAAGGGACAGAAATTCTTTTTCAAGGGGGGGTTAAAAAAGGGAAGAGGGGGGAAAAGGGGAACGGGTAAGTTGTTTTAAATTGAAGAAAAAAGCCCAAAAAATTATCCTTTATCATCGTTTTGTGGCACACCCATTAAAACCTAATTTTTTTGTTTTTATGATTTTTTTAGCCTCGCCCAAATACGAAGTATTTTGGGAGAGTGCCTTATTTCCCCCCGGGTTTTTCGGTTTCTGCTTTTCAGATTTCAGATTAAATTTTTGGGGCCGTAAAATATTTTTAAACTAAAAACTTTGGCATTTCTTAAGGTATAAAGCTTAAAAAACTTAAAATTTTAAAATTTTTTTCCTTTAAATCATAAACCCAAATTTTAAATGTGGGTTTCTGTCCCAAAAAATTTTTCAGTTTTATCCCCCTTTAAACCCTTAGAATTTTCCTTTTTTTTTTATTGTTATTTCCCCTTTTTTTTAAGGGATAAAACCTCTCTTAAATATAGTCCCTTAAAATCACCCATCCCCTTCTTTTTTGGGGAAAAGGGTTTTCTTTAAACTTTTAGCACAAATTTTCAAAAATTTTATCCCCCCTTGAAAGGGGGAATTTTTCCAAAAAAAAATTTACTATTTTTTACTGTTACTTTTTTTATTTTTTAAAGGGGATCAACCTCATACTTAAAAATTAAATTTTATCTTTAATCCACCCCCTCTTATTTGAAAAGGGTTTTCCCATAACTTTAGCCAAATTTTTTCAAAATTTAAATCTCCCCTTTAAAACTTAAAATTTTTTTAAAAAATTTTAATTTTTTTAATGTAACTTATTTTTTCAAAAGGGGATCCCCCTTCAAAACTTCAAATAAATGTACCTTATCATCATCCACATCTTATTGTGACAAGGTTTCATAACTGTAGCACCAATATTGCAAGAATTATCTCCTCATTAACTTAGATTTTTTTAACTAGAAAAATGTTATTTTTTACTATAACTTTTTTAGTTTTAAAGGTATCTACCTTAACTTCAAATACTGTTTATTCCTTATAATCATTATATTTTATGTGACAATGTTCATAACTCTTGAAGTAATTTTTTACAGATTTTATTTTTCTCTTTGAACTTAGGATTTTCTTTAAGAAATATTATAACTTTGTTACTTTTTAAGGTATCTACTTCAAACTTCAAATATATACTTCTTATCATTACATACATGTTGTGTGACAAGGTTCATAACTCTAGCGTGACTATTTCTTGAATTATTTCCCTTGATCTTGGAATTTATTTTAACAAATGTTATTTTTTTACTATAACTTAATACATAATTATACATAATTGACTTTTCTTTCATAGTTTTGTCCTCCTTATTGCGTCCAGTATTTTATAAGTCGAGCTTGGCTGTCTCCTGTGACAGCTCTTGTTGTTTTGTTCAAGACAATTTGTCTATTGTCCTTTTGACAGGTGTTTTTACTTACTTTCATATTATTATAACAGATTATAGAAAACCATATATTCTTGGGTATTCATATAATAAGTGATATTAGAAAACCATCCTTGTGTGTATTTCAGAGGGATTTCAGAGACCATGGAAGTAGATACAGTAAGTGAAATTATTTATTCTTGATTTATATGTAGTCAAATGTTACATATTCATTCTTTATAGAATTAGAGATTCTGTTTGGAGAATTCAATAGTGAAATTAATATGCCTTTTTTCAGGAGTCTCTTGCTAAATGGTTAAGGTTGTCATCTTCAAACCACTTGCCAAACACTGCTTAAATGTCACCAGAGACTTTGTATTCTTTCATGTGAGGAAGCTATCCAGCTAGCTTAGGGAATGTCTTTGGTTCTTCTTTGGTGCCCGTTCGTGCCTGAAATAATGTACAGAGAGGCACCTGAGGTCTTCATCCACTAGTAAAGCTTGAAAGTTGCCATATGACCTCTACTGTGTTTGTGTAATGCTAGAACCAACCAAAGAAAAATAAGTGATATGCATTTAAAATGAGTTTGCTGGTGTGTGCCTATATTGTTGTTAGGACCACAGGTGCTAGTGGCATTGATTTGACCTAAAATGTGTTTGACCTTGTTATTTATACAATAAAATATCAATATATTAAAAAAAAAATAAAAAAATTTTCACTGTTATATTATTATAGACAAGGTATGCAACATTCTGGTACGAAAATTATGGGTACGCCGGTTATCTGTGTTAAAAATTTTCACCGGGCGGTAATATCGTCGGATTTTTGCATGGAATCAATGCGCAATATATTTTTCTATTACAATTTACTATATACAGATCCCAAATTAACCGCTAATTAATGTTTTAAAGCCCGAAAGTAAGAAATCACCCAGGTCCGAAAGATGAGACCGTCATGACATGTACATTGTAAGCTGGTATTTACGCTTGAAATACATCAACAAAGAGATCAAACGGGTCGAACTCACATGCAAACAACCGGATTTTACATACTTTTAAATTGTTATATCCTCCACGAGTGGCACTAAGTCCTATGTGCCCGTATTTTAAGAAAAATTCTACGTGTATAAGGTAATTCCTAAATCGGAAGTGTTCTCCCGCAACACGTGCTTAGTTCCCTGTTCCGCTCTTTGTCAATGTATGTAAAACGGAAGCCGGAGAATACTTCCGGTAGGAATTACCTTCTAAAAATATCGTCTACATGTAGGATATTTCTTTAAATACAGGCTCATAGGACTAAGTTCGACTTGTGGAGGATAAAACCATTTGAAAGTATGTAAAATCCAGTTGTTTGCATGTGTGTTAAAAACAAATAGATTTAAGTTAATGAATCATAGTTCATAGTGTCATTGATGGTGAAGGGGGGGGTGCATAAAATAAGAGCCATTATTTACAAGTGAGTTTCAAAATTTCCAAAAATAATGAAAGCTTCCCCCAACCACATTGAAGGCATGTATTGCTTTTATGAGAACGTCAATTATATTGTTACTGAGGGCAAGAATGGGTTAACTTCATTTTAAGTTTACACAAGTTAATTCTAGTGTGTATTTTTATGAGAAAAAGTGATGTTGAATTTTCTCAATGTTTTAATGGTTACTATGCTAGATATATCAATGCTGTTCGCTTTCAGTTTCTCTACTTGTAATAGGGTTTGTAAGCGAACAGCATGGATCCTGATCAGACTGCGCGGATGCGCAGGCTGGTCTGGATCCATGCTGGTCGCAAACCCACTATGTTGGTTTTGTCATGACGTGGCTCAAATTGTTATACTAGATAACAGACGTGACCGACGAGACTCACATAGAGAAGAAGAACCGGAATGGTTTAGTTCTGGACCGATTAGTAAAAGTGACACGATTGAACTGCACGGGTTTGAACGTGACCGCCGAGATAGTGATCGACAGAAGGAGGACAGAGGTAATGATGCACCCAAGGTCAAACAGAAAGAAATACGAAAACAGCAAGTACATCAACATATACAAGAACATGTGGAGGTATCTGATGAGGACGAAAAGCGGGATGAAGGTAAGAAAGATATTGATTTAACCTTTGACCTTTGCCACCAGTATTTAGCCAGGCCAGCCTGTACATCTGTGCAGTCTGATCAGGCTTTATACATAGTTTCGTTACTAAAGTTTTATGTTGATGTCTTCAAAATTGATAATGGACAGTCCCAGAAATGGAAGCTGAGAAATTCCATTTAAGAAACTCAGCAGGTTAACTTCAAAATTTTATGCAAAATATTTTGTATGATTATAAGAAAAATGATCCATATATTCCATATAATATATTTATTTGTTGAAATGTTATCAATATGATATTTACAAAGAAAACTGGCCAGTATTTCATATATGATTACCTTTTTAAAATTGCCCATGTGTGGTTCTTATACATGTACATCTATCTTCCATTAATGTCAAACCCGGCACAAGGACATAGACATGTCTTTGCGTCAAAACAGCAAGAAAGTAAAAAAGAGTTGTTTAAAAACAGGATAAAAGAAGAATTTTAAAAATGTTAAAAATAGGGGGCTGGAAAACTAGGGTGAGACATGTTCAATGCTAGGGTGACACATGTTCATTGCAAGCTATGGCTGCACTGAACTGCTCTGGGGTATGGAGTAGGGCAACTGCAGGGGGTAGATTGTTCCAGTGGTATACTGCCCTAGGAAAGAAGGAGAATTTATAATAGTATATGACGTAACTTGGCAACAAAAATGATTTAATAGATGATGTAAACCAATTGATTGATGTTTTATTTTGCTTGCTGTTAAACACAGTTTTTATGCAATTTTTGTTATTTTTATTTATTCATAAGCTTGAATGAGGAAACAGAAAAGAAAATGATATAAAATATTGATTTAGATTATATATTTTTACCAAAAATATCAGTTACATTACATTTCATTATCATGGCATCCTGTGTAATTAGATAATTTAAATTACTAAATATTTGTCTATAGGTATTAGTGTAGCCGACAGAAATGGCAGTTTAGAGACCAATGAGTCCAGTTCCCCGGAAACAAACACGTCAGACCTCGAGATACGGCCCAATAAATCAAATCCTGGGCACATACCATCATTCGACTTTAATGAGTTTTTCAACATTGATAACATTCCTGGACTTTCAGCGCCTGTAAGTGTTTAACTCACTGAATTATAACAGTAATAGTCACTTGACTTTGTAAGCAATATAGAATCAGGCAAAGGGGGCAATTCCAATCCCGGTCCCCACTTTTTTCTCATTTTTTCCTCTTAGAAATAGTTAAAATTACAATTTGGAAAGTTCAAATTTTTAAAGAAAAAAAAACATTGGGCCTGGTTTGTAGTGTTCCCTAGTTTTTAAAAAAAACCAAATATGGAGGGCCCTTTAAAAATAAGATTTTTTTTACTGTAAATTGTTTTTTTAAAAAAATTGAGCAAATTTTTCCATTGAAATAAATTTTTTTATAACTTTAAAAATCCTTTAAAAACTGCAATTTTGCTTTTCCCTTTTCAAAGAATTTTACCCCAAAAGGTTGTTTTTTAAGTTACCTGAATACTTTTTATCTAAACAAATTGATTGAAAAGGTTTTTTACAAATATTTTTTTAAAAAAAGTTTCAGATGAAAAAAAGGGGATTTGCTGTTATATAATGATTTTTTTTTGTCAATCTTCATAGGATGAATCTGTAGCAGATACTGACCCAGCAAATATTGGTGGGAGTAGATTCTACCAGCTTTATAGAACATCATTGGCTGGGAACCAGCAGGCTAATGGTGGGAGTAAAGAGAACAGCCGGAGATCTTCACTTATGGAGGATGAGTTTGGCTACTTAAATGGTAATAATTCTTTTATGTGTGGAAGCTATCAAAAGTTGGTGGTTCTACTCCTGTTAATGATTAGCCTGAATAATGCTCAGCAGAGCACCTGTCTTCTTCGACCAGTAAATCTATATAACGTATACTGTGTTGGTGTTACATAGAAACAGTTGCCACCAGCTGAGACAATTGAAATAAAGGTGGAAGCAATGCGAACCCTTAGCTTGCTGGTAGCGGCAGATGTTACCCATGTTACCTAGCTGGTACATTTGTGTCATCAGATCATGCATACATGTGAACTTTTTTCAATCATCAAGTAGGAGATTTTTCTTCAAAAAGAGGGAGATTTTAGAATTTGCAATAAACAAATAAGGAAGTTCTGACATCAAAAATAGGGAGATTTCTTTAATTTGTGAAAATTCCCCTTATTTTAAGAAAAATCTTTGAAAATATGGCTGCAGAAAGTGGGAGTCTCCCGCTTAAAGTGGGAAAATTCACATGTATGATCATGGTGTACACTGTTCTCTCTTCAGATAGTATAAATCTTGAAAATTTTCCCATAAAACTAGGAATGGTTTTGTACAAACTGAAAAAAGTCCATCAAAGATATTCAGTGTGTTAAGGGTTATAAATAGATCAAATGGAAACAACTTACAGCAAAAGTACAACCTCCTTATTTATCTAAATCATGATGATTTTTTTACCTTATATGGTATTAAAATTATTTACAGATTTATTGAATGGTTCCAAGAGCCCTGTGATACCCTCACCACCGCCTGGTTCAGCAGCCTTTGAACGTTCTACTTTCCTGACACCATATGCATCCAGTGATAAACAACATCACCTCGAGTTTGGTACGGTTGGACAGAAGCTTGTGGCAAACAATACTACATTGGTTAATGCACTCATAAACAACGCTGCTGCCCTCAATAGATCAAGTCGTGAGTTTGCTTTTATATATTCTAAATTTGTTGTTTATGGGGTGTTTTTTGTTGCGTTTTATGTCAACATTGTAAAGATCATGTCAAATAACAATTTTGCAGCTATACTAATGGAGCAAGATCTAAGGCGCCTCTTTTTTAACCAGGTTTTCAATTTTGAAAATCCTGGTTATTAGATTGGGGTATGGCGGGCGGCTGGGCGGATGGGCGGGCGGGCGTCAAACGAAATTGTGTCCGCTCTGTAACTCTTCAACCCTTTGAAGAATTTTGATGAAACTTCAGACAAATGTTTACCACATCAAGATGACGTGCAGAACGCATGTTCCGCATGGCTGGCTCCAAGGTCACAGTGACATTAACATTGAAAATCCTGTCCGCTCTGTAACTATTCAACCCTTTGAAGAATTTTGATGAAACTTCAGACAAATGTTTACCCCATCAAGATGACGTGCAGAACGCATGTTTCCGCATGGCTGGCTCCAAGGTCAAGGTCACAGTGACATTAACATTGAAAATCCTGTCCGCTCTGTAACTCTTCAACCCTTTGAAGAATTTTGATGAAACTTCAGACAAATGTTTACCACATCAAGATGACGTGCAGAACGCATGTTCCGCATGGCTGGCTCCAAGGTCAAGGTCACAGTGACATTAACATTGAAAATCCTGTTTACATGATTTTAACTTGATTTGGCAGTCAAAGGTCATATCATCTTTGGAGGTAATTTAAAAAAGATATGATATATTATTTCATGTCTACTTTGTAACTTGTTTTTTCATTATACAGAATTATCAATATAATTATAGTGAACAAATTCTTCTGTGCTGAACTCGTCCTACATTTCTCAACAGATTTTGTTCAAACTTTCACAGAAGCTTTGTCATCAAGCACCCTGGCACATATTGTCGGGGTTTTGTGATTGGATAGTTTTTGACCTAATTATGGCCCTTTGTTTTTTTTCCTTATACATAATATTATAGTGAACACTTCTTCAGTGGCAATTCCTCCTACATTATTCATATTTTACATTGCACATAGTTACATTGTTTGTTGCTTGTATTTGTATTTCAAATACAACATATTTATCTACAATGGTGATAATTGAAAACCTGGTTTCATGGCATTGCCATGTTTCTTGTATATTATTTATTCTGATTTTGACAAAAAAAAAAAAACCCCAAAAAAAAGAAAATAAACACAGGATTTAATCTTGCATTATCAGTTATCAAGTGAATGAGTAGTGTAATTATTGTAAATAGTGTAGATCAGTACCCGAAGTCATTACAGTGAAATATGTGAGCGAAATTGTTGAACAACTACTGTCTAGGTTTCCACCCAGGAATGTTAAGAGTAAATAGAATATGGTGTAAAAATAAAATGCTCTGTAACTGCTTCTGCTCGTTATTCTGGTTCATTATTATACACCTAAAAACGAAGTTTGGGGGGTTATATAGGAGTCACCCAGTGGTTGGTCCAGACATCCGTTGCATTTTCCTTGTCTGGAGCATAACTTGAAGACTAATGGTTGGAATTCAATATAACTACATACAATGGTCAAGCACATTGAGAGGAAGTACAGTGCACAAGAACCATAACTCTATCTTGACTAATTACAGAGTTATTTCCCTTTGTTACTCTTCCTTGTCCGGGGCATAACTTGAAAACTACTGGTTGGAATTCAAAACAACTTCATACAATTGTCAAACACAATAAGGGGAAGTGCAGTGCACAAGAACCATAACTTTATCTAAAGTAATTACAGAGTTATTGCCCTTTGTTACTTTTTCATTGCTTTCTTTTGTCCGGACCATAACTTGAAGACTAATGGTTGGAATTCAATATAACTTCATACAATGGTCAAGCACATTGAGAGGAAGTGCAGTGCACAGGAACCATAACTCTATCTTGACTAATTACAGAATAATTGCCCTTTGTTACTTTTCCTTGTCTGGGGCATAACTTGAAAACTACTGGTTGGAATTCAAAACAACTTTTTACAATTGTCAAACACAATAAGGGGGAAGTGCAGTGCACAAGAACCATAACTCTATCTAAAGTAATTACAGAGTTATTGCCCTTTGTTACTTTTCCATTGCTTTTTTTGTTCAGAGCATAACTTGAAGACTAATGGTTTGAATTCAATATAACTTCATACAATGGTCAAGCACATTGAGAGGAAGTGCAGTGCACAAGAACCATTGCTCCATCTTGACTAATTACAGAGTTATTGCCCTTTGTTACTTTTCCTTGTCCAGAGCATAACTTGAAAACTACTGTTTGGAATTCAATACAACTTCATACAGTTGTCAAGGACATTAAAAGAAAGTGCAGTGTACAAGAGCCATAACTCCATTTTGACAAAATACAGAGTTACTGCCCTTTGATATTTTACCTTGTCCGGCGCTTAACTTAAAACATACTGGTTGGAATTCAAAACAACTTTATACAATGGTCAAGCACAATAAGAAGAAGTTCAGTGCACAAGAACTATAACTCCATCTTCAGTATTTATAGAGTTATTGCCCTTTGTTCCTTTTCCTTGTTCTGGACTTATTACAGAGTAATTCAATAAAACTTCATCAATGGCCAACCACATTGAAAGGAAATGCAACATACAAGAACCACAACTATCTTTAATTGCCCACAACCATAACTCTATATTTCAATTCTTTTACAAGGTATTCTGTTACTAGTAACATCCTCCTTTCTGAAACAGTCTTGTGGGGGTATTAATCACATTTAGTGATAGTTCTAGTTTAAGACCTTAATATGATAACCTTTAGCCAAATAGCTGAACTTTCTATTGCATAAAGATAAAATAATTTTAGTATTTTGTATGGGACATTAAATACTACTTGAATAACATTTTGCATACTTTGTGACACATTATTTTACATTCAATTTACAAGCTGATAGGTTGCCAAAGTTTCATTTAACTTGTTCTAAATCCATTATTAAAATTCTTCTTCAGAGGAAGAATTGTCTTTATTTCCTAGGCCCAATGGGCCTTTAATTGATTACCTGTAATGACATAATTGAGCCACGTCACAACAAAACCATCATAATGGGATTGCGACCAGCATGGATCCAGACCAGCCTGCGCATCCGTGCAGTCTGATCAGCATCCATGCTGTTTGCTTACAAACCCTTAACAAGTAGAGAAACTGACAGCAAATAGCATTGATTCTGATCAGACTGCGCGGATGCGCAGGCTGGTCTGGATCCATGCTGGTTGCAAACCCATTATATTGGTTTTGTTGTGACGCAGTTCAAATTTATTATCTTTTTCAGCTACTGGAATGAAGAACTCTCCACAAGAGACTGAAGCTAAACTGAAGGCATTGTTATTTGGTCGTCTAGACTCTGCATCTAGTAGTGGTAACACGACACCTGGCTTCAACTCCCCACTAAGTATGTATTATACTCCAGCATCAAATGTCTTTAAACTTATAAACAAAGCTGGTTAAAAAAAGGAAATTGAATTTGAAAAAAAAAATATTGAGGAAAATAGGGGAAAATTTACAGAGCAGAACATTATTTCATGTTTTTCTTGATTTAAAGATAGCGTTGATCACCATTGATATGCCATTGCAATGCTCCTTTTATGTTTGAATATATCATTGGTTTTGACAATTTTGTTAAGGAGTCTCACAGATTAAAAAAAAGTGATACATGGTTACCTTGAAATACATCCAAATTCTATGATTTTAAATTGCCTGTTTACTCACAGGTGCAACTGGAAAAGTTAAAACAGTGGCTGAGCTTGAGGGTGAGTTACAGACCAATAAACCAGTACGAACACTTACCCCACCCACCCATATACACAGAGGATCGCCAGCTGATGGGAATAGCGACCTGACGGCATTCAACAAACTGATCAGCTTGATGCAGGCAGGAGCCGCTAGACCTGTAGAGTCTCCTAAACAACCTGTAAGTCCATGTTCATCTTCATTTGTTTCCTTGAATAATAATATAAAAAAGATACCCCACCCACTTGCAAACAAGATTCTTTCAGGTGACAATAATTAGAAAACAGGTAAGATAAATGATGTTGATAAGATGATAAGAGTTGGAGCAAGTTTATACAGGACACAAATGTTTAGGCCTTGTCAAATCTATGGCATTACGATAGTATTGATATATTGTTTAAAATTTGTAATTGCCAGCTTCAAATTATCAAAAATGTTAGTATTAGATCTTTTATCAAACAATTATTTTCCATTGATCATACTTAAACCAAAGACAAGCTGGTTTTGAGTGACTTGTTTGACAGTTGTGTTCTTGACAAGTTTTGACTTTACATCTGTCTTTGTTTTATTATTTTTATTTACACAGTCATTTTACCGTATGGCAATGCGACTGACATTTTGTTTATCTACATTGCAGATAAAGCCTGAACCTCGCCCACCATCTCCAATGTCAAGTTTACCCAGTCACATCCAGCAAGCCCAGTTACAACAACATATGTTACAGAATCATCAAGCTGGTATGCCATCTCAGATACAGGCCGGACACCAGCAACATGGTTTACCACCGCAACTACATGCTGGTCCCCCACAGCCACTTCAGGGTAGAGTTATACATAAACCAGAGCCATTGCACCTACAAGGTCATCCAGCACAGGTAATGGATTTGGTCATTTGTACTTAGTCAACCTCTTTAGCTCACCCTGTCGCAAAGTGACAGGGTGAGCTTTTGTGATCACTTTTCGTCCGGCGTCCGTAAACTTTTAATTTAAATGACATCTCCTCATAAACCACTACGCCAATTTCAGCCAAACTTCACAGGAATGTTCCTTTGGTGGTCACCTTTGAAAATTGTTCAAAGAATTTAATTCCATGCAGAACTATGGTTGCCATGGCAACCAAAAGAAAAAACTTAAGATATCTTCTTCTAAAAAACCCAAAGAGCTAGAGCTTATATTTTTGGCATGAAACATCTTCTGGTGAGTGTCTACCAAGTTTGTTCAAATAAAAACCCTTGGGTCAAAATTGGCCCCGCCCCAGGGGGTCATTGATTTTCCCTATATGCATATTAAGTAAAAACTTAAAAAATCTTCTTTTAAAGAACCCAAAGAGCTAGAGCTAAGATATTTAGCATGAAACATCTTCTCATGGATGTCTACTAAGTTTGTTCAAATAAAAGCCCTGGGGTAAAAATTGGCCCCGCCCCAGGGGGTCATTGATTTTCCCTATATACATATAGTAAAAACTTTAAAAAATCTTCTTTTAAAGAACCAAAAGAGCTAGAGCTAAGATATTTAGCATGAAACATCTTCTAATGGATGTCTACCAAGATTGTTCAAATAAAAGCCCTGGGGTCAAAGTTGGCCCCACCCCAGGGGGTCATTGATTTTCCATTTATACATATAGTAAAAACTTAAAAAATCTTCTTTTAAAGAACCCAAAGAGCTAGAGCTAAGATATTTAGCATGAAACATCTTCTAATGGGTGTCTACCAAGTTTGTTCAAATAAAAGCCCTGGGGTCAAAATTTGCCCGGCCCTGGGGGTCATTGATTTTCCAAATTTCCTTATATGTGTATAGGAAAAACTTAAAAAATCTTCTTTGGAAAAACCAAATAGCTAGAGTTTAGATATTAAGCATGAAACATCTTCTAGTGATTGTCTACAAAGTTTGTTCAAATAAAAGCCCTGGGGTCAAAATTGGCCCCACCCCGGAGGGCATTCATTTTCCCTATATGTGTAAAACTATAACAAAAATTGAAAAATCTTCTTTGAAAAAACTCAAATAGCAAGAGTTTAGATATTAAGCACGAAGCATCTTCTAGTGAGTGTCTTCAAAGTTTGTTCAAATAAAAGCCCTGGAGTCAAAATTGTCCCCGCCCCGGGGGACATTGATTTTCCTTATACGATTAAAGCAAAAACTTAAAAATCTTCTTTTAAAAAACCCGAATAGCTAGAGTTTAGATATTAAGCATGAAACATTTTCTAGTAAGTGTCTTCAAAGATTGTTCAAATAAAAGCCCTTGGGTCAAAACTGGCCCTGCCCCAGGTGTGTCATTGTTTTTAACTATATGTGTAAAGAAAAAACTTAAGAAAATCCCAACAAGCTAGACCTTAGATGTTTAGCATGAAACATCTTCTAATGGTTGTCTACAAAGTTTGTTCAAATAAAAGCCCAGGGGCTTTAAACTGGCCCTGCTCCGGGGGCCTATGTACAGGTGAGCGACTTCAGGGCCATCATGGCCCTCTTGTTTAGGTAACATGTTGACTTATGATGTTCCTCTTCCTAACTATCCTTTTTTATGCCAGTTTAATACATGTTTGGGACAAACTTGTATCTCATTAGTTGTTCAACCTAACTGGCTTTCCTGGATAACTCACTAGTAAAAACCAATTTTTCCGCCTACAATTTTCCACATGATTTTTGAATCATAGATGAAAAAGAAATGACCATTAGACTCAATATCTTAGATCAATTCATAGAGGAATTATGTCAGACCTAAGAATCGAACCAGCCACCCTTGGATAACAACTCTGATACTCTTTCTGTTGAGCTAAGCTGGCAAACTCCTTTTGTTTAAAAGCTATTCAAAGACAGGGCTTATAAGGCAACCTCTGTAAGTTAAGCAGTTAGGTCAAAATGTCTCTAATTTGCATAGTTAAGTCACTAACTTTGAATCACTTGACCATTGCTGCTGTGAGTTTGAATCTTTCAAGGGACTTTCATTTATTTAATTTGAGGAAGCTATTCAGCTGGTTTGCAGAAGATTGTTTGTTCTAATTTTATGTGCACACAGTGTTTGTAATGAATGTAACACAGATGTGTGCGCAGAGATTGTCCTTTAATATTGAAGCTTGGCCATAACAAGTTGGTTTGGCTAAATCACAACTTCAAAAACATGTATCTTCCAGCAGAGAGGAACAATTTATTCAAAATAAGGCATTAAAGTTTGTTTTTTTTTGGGTTTTTTTTTGTTGTTTTTTTTTTTTTGTTTTTTTTCGTGGGAGGGGGGGGAATCAAAGTTCTTAGTTAGCCGATGGAAGATTAAAGCTGCATGCCTCCTGATGAGCCAAAATATTTCAAGATATTCAATCTTAAGAAAAATGTACTAAGATCTTAAGAAAAGTAAAAAGATTCAATATTTAATTAATTATTTACATGTTATGTGCGATTAATGACTGATTTTGCAGTATCAATCACTATAATTCTACTGCGTTACTAACGCAGTAAGAGGTATTTATGTATATTTTGACCTCTTTTTGGTAATTTACGTGGATTGTAAGTGCCGTTTGCAATGTGTAAATTACTTTCTTTGTTCACTTCACAATATTTTACTTTTAAATACATTTTCAAAATTTTCATGAAAATTAGCATGAATCTGGAGGCATGCTGCTTTAAAGTCTTTGTTGGTTTTTGACTAGGATATTAAAAAAAATAAAAAAATATATATTAGCTGTATTTTGATATTAAGTCTGTTCTGATACTTTACAGAACCAGAGAGCAAGTGTTGGTGATATTCCATTTGAGATGATTGATGGTTACCCTGGCAACATGCACACACCCACATCTGTAGCTCCACCCCAACATATGGGTCTTAGTGATGCTACAGCAGCACAGAAACAATTTATGGAGGTATATAATAACTGATCTGTTTTATATGAAATATTTACATTTTTTTTGTGTCATTGTCAATAGTAGTTATTTTTAGGTAGTAAATGAGTGCATATATCAGCTTATGTTTGTGTAAGGAGACCTTACTGACTAACATTTTTTCTTGAACTGTCATACAGTCAACATCATGGAAATAAAGATTTAGAATACTTGTACACTTGGTATTGAAACATATGGCAAACCTGTTTTTGAACTTTAAAAACAAATCTTTGTAAATTTTAAAAAAAGTCTATCTGTTATCTTCACAGATGATATATGAATTGTTGTAAAAGTTATTTTGATCCTAAATTTCAGATTTTTTTTGTGCTGCTGTATTTTGGGGGTGGTATTTTTCACATTTTTAAATGTACTTGAGTAACGTTTTTGATTATCAGTTGTGTGTAAATTGATTTGTTTTTCATAGAAGTGAGTAAATTTCATGTTTGTTCCAGGCTTTACAAAGAAACAAAGAACAACAATTACAGATTCGTCAAGCTGTTATACAAAACATGCGAAGTACTCACAACAGTCAGCCACCACTCCTTGCATCACAGATAGCCACAGGTCAACACTCCACACCCCAACAGGCTCCACCAAATGTAAAAGGATTTTTGTTGCTTTTTTTCCCTCTTGATGTTCGATATTTATATCTATAAAAGAAAAATGGGAAAGCTTTTGCCTGTGTTTTTTTTAGGGGATTCTTAGTTAAGTGATATAAGTTCATATCTGCAAACAAGTTGTCACTCCCTGCTATTTGATTGATCTCAGAAGCAAATTCTTTTGTATATGGGAGTTATCCAGTCAGCTGAACTACCCCTCACTGCTGCTGGTTTGAATCCCGTCAATGACATGGAATTCTTTGATATGAGGAAGATATCCAGCTAGCTTATGGAACATAGATGTTTCTATCGAAGTGCAATTTTGTGCCTGAAATAATGCACGGAGGGTCACCTGATATCTTCCTCCACAAAGCTGGAAGTTTGCCATTTTACCATTTAAGTGTTGATGCTTCTTTAAACCTAGCAAATGTCATACAGTTTTTGTTCCCAGTGTTTTTGCCACATGAAATTCTCATAGAAAACAAGGGGTCTTTTCAACAAGTGCACAATACAATAACAATATTGTCTTTCTCATTGAAGAAAAGCAGTGACTGACAACTTTTAGATAGCATTTCATAGGCTATTTATTTACCAGTCAATTGTAACACTTGTTCCCATAGCATTGACTTTGAATTTTTGATTATCATATTGTCAGTAAAGGTCCAGTCCTTTAAGGACAGTCTGAAGTTTAAAGTCTTGTGAAATGCTCATGCCTGTAAATTGGACATGTCCTTGTTATTTTGGCAAAAACCTGGCAGTGTGGGGACTGATTTAAGATACAAGCTTGTCTTGTTTCGCATGCTATCAGCATCACTTAGCGAAGAGAGTGTTTGGATGGGGTTGCAATTGACTACATCATTGTCAATGTTGAGATTCCATGAAAAATAGCAAAATTTAATTTTGGATGTGTCAGGTTTGCATCTATAAATTTACATTTTCAGAATATTCAAGGGAGACGATCATCATCTGGGGATCCTGTGATGAGCTTCTTGAAGGCAAATCCTACCATTATAACTAAACCTGCATCACCCACGCCACCACCCCAACAGCAACCGCAAATACCCATCATGAACTTTGTCCAGCCAGGGACATCACCCCGTGGACCATCACCATCACCGCTACAGTCGACTCTCCTGTCTCGTCAAGCCCAAGGCTCTCCAAGAGTACCTTCACCTATCAGTGAGTATCTAGTTGATTATTTCAGATATTGTTTTGAGACTTGCAATGTCTGTCTGAAGAAAAAGATTCTGTAGCTGCACTGTTTACAGCATCATTTTTTAGCTCGACTATTCAATAAGAATAAGTAGAGCTATTGTAGTCACCCGAGCGTCGGCCTAACCACTTATGTTAAAGTTTTTGTAATAGTTTAAATATTTTCAAAGTCCATTGACATATGGCTTTGAAACTTTGCACACTTGTTCACCATCATTACCCAAACCTGTAGACAGGAGGAGGTAACTTTATCAAGTATTTTGACAGAATTATGCCCCTTTTTCGACTTAGAATTTATGTTAAAGTTTTTGTAATACCTCAAATATTTTCAAAGTCCATTGACATATGGCTTTGAAACTTTGCACACTTGTTCACCATCATGACCCCAATATGTAGACAGGAGGAGGTAACTTTATCAAGTATTTTGACAGAATTATGCCCCTTTTTCGACTTAGAATTTATGTTAAAGTTTTTGTAATACCTCAAATATTTTCAAAGTCCATTGACATATGGCTTTGAAACTTTGCACACTTGTTCACCATCATGACCCAAATATGTAGACAGGAGGAGGTATCTCTTTCAAGCATTTTGACAGAATTATGCCCCTTTTTTGACTTTGAATTTACGTTAAAGTTTTTGTAATACCTCAAATATTTTCAAAGTCCATTGACATATGCCTTTGAAACTTTGCACACTTATTCACCATCATGACCACAACATGTAGACAGGAGGAGGTAATTCTATCAAGCATTTTGACAGAATTATGCCCCTTTTTCGACTTAGAATTTACATTAAAGTTTTTGTAATACCTCAAATATTTTCAAAATTCATTGACATAACATGTTGAAATTTTATACTCTTCTTTGAGAGCATAATAGGACTCTCTCCAAGGCCTATAACTGTAATATGGATTTAAAGAAAAATTTTGCCATTTTCTTTACTTAGAAAATTTTACCTTTTAATCAAGGCTTTTTTTACTATCAAGCACTAAGAATAGTTGAGCGTTGCTGTCCTACCGACAGCTCTTGTTTGCTCATGTCATAAATTAAAATACTATCCGTATATAACAAAAAGCTTCCATAACTGACATGATTTCCAGGTCTTCTTTTGAAGCATTATGTTTGTGTTAATTCTTTTTAGTAAGACATGTTTTTAACTAGGCTATCATATTATGCCTCGTTCAAAATGCCTCCAGACATTGAGGTTTTATTTTGTCATTTATTCATTATCAAAGAAACACTCTTAGAATCTGCAACAAATAAACCAGTTAATCTAGGTATGGCACATGCTTTCTCAAGCTACTTTTCAATATGTGTTTTTTAGCGATTATTAATAAGCACGTTAGTTGATCAACAAATGTGAGGCATAACGTAAAATATTATTTGCTTACCCTTTCATTACCTACCAGCAAAAAGTCAATGCTATCCGAACTTTTTTATATGTTTTTTACTAAACATGGATGCAGAAGCTGACAATGAAACTCATATTTTTATATATGTTTCATGTTTTGTCATTTTAATTTTGCAAATTGGGATATACGTTGTAAATTGAATAAAACTTAGAATCTTTGGTTTGAAACTTAAACAGCTACTTGGCATTCACATTTTTTTTTAATCATATACATTGTAATTCAGACACAAAGATAAATTATGTGCAATAAAAAAAATTACTTTGCTTTAGAAAAATATTATGTTAAAACCTACTGACAAAATGTGAATATGTCACAGGGGGGTTAAACAAAGATAATTTAAAGGCTTGCCTTACTTATTCATTTCTTTCAACATAAATGTAAGACCAGTTATTCTTGCATATCAGACAGAATTATCTACTGTTTACACCGGTGCTAGAAAAACCTGTAAGACAAGTCTTGTGCTTTAAATGACGTCATTGCCGTGTGCCTTTTATTAATTAATTGCAGTTGTAGGATGACGTCATTTTACCGTTATGATACGCTACTATAAGAAAAAAGTGCTTAATCAGAATATCAGTTTTGGTAATTTCTGTTCTGAAAATAATTGATATGTAATATTCAAGAAAAAGATTCAAACACCCACTGTCTGTTCAGACAGGAATATTTAGCTCTCGGGTAACTGTCAAGCAGAAACTCGACAGAGCCTCATTACCACCGTATACAGTTACCCTCAAGCTAGATATTCTGGTCTGTACCAGTGTTAGATTCTTATACTGTTTATTCATTCCTTTCAGTTTAAATGTCAGATTAAAGTGATAGAAAAAAATTCTTTTACATGCCTTTCAATATACTTCAGCTCAAAAATGCATGGCAGTTTAAAAATGCATTTATAGTCTGAATGATTTATAGCATTGTTTAAGAATGTCCCGATTTTCTTTATTTTCAGTGTTTAGTCAACAACCCCCGATGCATTTGAGTGCTCCTTCACCTATACATCCTTCACAGGGAGGAAGTTCCCTGTCCCAGTCACCTGTAGGCCAGCCAGCCAATACTAGTGTAAGTTTTTGATAAATTGATACTGATTTATAGGGGGAAAAATGTATATTAATTGACTATCAGATGAAAAATTCAGAGATCAAGTTGAATTTCACATTGGAGGCTATAGGGGAAAAGAAAGGAAATATAATGTGATAAAAACTGAATTCTTTACTTTTTCATAGAATACCCAATCTGCATGGAATATATTTGATAATTCCATGCATTTACTCAAACTGAAAAATTCAGCTTTTATCATGCTAAATATCTTAAATGAACTTTAATGGTTTATGTTTCTTTCTTGACAAAACCATTCATCAGTTTTAGGGAAAATTCCAAAATATTTTGGCTAACTAGTGAACAGTGCAGACTATGGCCAGATGGCATAAATGTACTGGTAGATCTTGGTCTGCACTGGTCATATGAGTAGAATCTATTGCCGCCTGTGTGCATTCTCTGTAATCACTAATCAGTTACCAGATTATACAGTTCACCAGAGTTGATCATTTATATTTTAAGTTTGTATTGAAATTATTCTCATTGTATTTTCTCTTTTTATACAGACTGTAAATACAATAAGACCTCCATCAGTTCCTCGAGTACCCAGTCCACAAGAGTTAATAGTTCATACACAAGCCATTTTACAAAATGCCCTCATAAAGAAACAGCTTGAAGATCAAAAAGAAAGATTTTATAAGAAACAGCAAGAGAGGTAAGTTTTACACTGTCAGGCTATAAGCACAGGGGTTCATGTGCTACAGGGAAAGCAGGATAAAGTTGGGAATATGGAAATAATGGCCTTTGCCTTAAAAATTTCTGAGTTAATCTTTATGTCATTCAAAAAATCAGTGCTTATCAAACTGTATGTTAACATTTTAAGTTATTGTCTTGTGGAATTTAGGGATAACTTTAGGTCTAAAAAGTTCTGCTTCATTTTGATAATGTGTGTTTAGACATTAATTCTGCAGTTTTGATCAGCAGTGATAATATATTTTTACTGAAACAAAGTAGATGCTTTGCTTTGCCATCATTCATTATTCATTTTCATACAAAACTTCAACAGATATGGCAATTTATTACAATACCACTTTTCATGGCAATAACTAACCCCACTTAATAATGAATTTAATTAAAAACATAACTTTAAAGTGTATAAAGCTATATATCTGATGCAAAAATTATTGTTTGAATTTTAAAAAAAGTATACTTCCAAAATGCTTGTATGAAATAAATATGGTAAGATATCGCTTCCAAAGCGAAATGCGCATGCACAAAATTATTGCTTAAAGGATAAAACCTTACTTAGAATAGCATAATAATATTTTGTTCCGGAACATTTTATTCTCTTTTACAAACATTAATCATGTGTTTTAAATATCAGAGACTCTTCCGGGAATCAGGCTTATAATAATGGAACCAATTTAATTTTACTGTTGATAAATTTTATAAAAATATTTCATAAGATATAGATTTATACCCTTTAAAGTCTAATAACGTAGAAAGTGGTGTAACCATTTATTTGTAATCATAACAGAGTAAAGTCTCCTGCAATGGTAGGGGGGAAGATCATGCCAGATAACATGCAGGGTCCAACAAGAACATCGCCAGCACCTGTCACCTCTACACCTGTTGCTGCAAAGGTATGTTCTGTTGTTGCTTCTAAATTGATTACATTTTTATGCCATTGCAGCATCTCCAATGTGGTGGCATATTGCAATTCACCACTATGTTTGTGTCTGTTTGCCTGCATGAGTCTGTTATACAGATTAAAAAAAGTGACTGCAAGTTCGAACTCAACCAAATATACCAGGATTGTTCCTTGGGTGAAAGTCCAAAGTTACAAGGGTTAGAGCTTAGAAATTTAGAATGAAACATTGCATGGTGAACCTCTACCAGGACTGTCTGGAAGGTTTCAAAAATTACTTGGCACAATCCCTCTTGTGCCTGAAAGATTGCCTTAAGGGTTGAGGCATCAGAATGGCAGCCACTGTTTCTCCATGCACGATCGTAAGAGGCAACTAAGTGGGTTTGAATTACTGGAGTCAACCAGAAGGTGAGGTGGTTTTGACCCTTGGTGTTGCTTTAAGTTTGTACACCTGAGGTTAGCTATAAATTGGCACCATGTCACCTAATTGTGTTGATGTTCTGTAAAGCCAAATAAAAAAATTAATTAAAAAAATTCTGGCACAGTCACCACCATGTCATATTGTGTAATTTCAGTAAAGCATAACATTAAGGTTGATACCCCAAAGGTCGCAAGTAGAGGTCATATTTTCAAGTCCATAACTTTCTTACTAATGGACTGCTGAAAAGGTTTTAAAGAAATAGGCACATATTGTCACTACAATATGTGCCTATTATGATACAATGTGTGCTGTACACTGACCAGGATCCAATGTTAATATGTTCACATTTTGTGACTGCTTTATAAATCATTGGCTATGGAGAAGGTGCTTGAATTTTCACAAGTATGACACAATTTGCTTACAATGTGCTTAATGCAACAGCTTGGTTTTTCACCAAAGGTCAGTCAAAAGTTATAAATCCACATTCATGCAGCAGTAGAGGCTGTAGCCATCCTTGACTTACAGTAGAATAAATTTGCAATTTTTAACTTGTTCATGCATAGTTCAAAAAGTATTTGACTTGTAGGCCTGAAAGTTTACAAGAATGTTGGTCAGCATGTGTAATTATGCACCTTGGGGTTTGCTTGTGAATTTATTCAGTATTTGTAAAGTTCTTGCCCTTTACTTAGTAAAAGATTTTTAGTTTTCAACTTGTGGCACATGTAGTCCAAAACATATTTGACCTAGAGTCTTAAGATTGACAGAACAGTGGCGTATGGGGGCACCGTGTCCTATGGACACATTTCTCGTTGTTGTACAGTTATATAATGATTGCCACCAGAGAGTATCTCTTGTGTTTTAATGTGTAAGCAATTCATTTTACAGAGTGCTGTGAATGTAGCATTTACACCAACGTCTGTAATTCGTAAGATGCATTCGGAGAAAGCTAGTGAGAAGGAAAAATTGAGGAGAGATAGTGCAGATCTAGTTGAAGGTTCAGGTTAGATTATATAACATCCCTCATACTTGAATTCTTAAAATTGTGTTATGTTGTTGGACTGAATTCTTCAAGAAATAATAAAAAAATATATATATAATGAAGTTGTGATGTACTTTTAAGCATTTGATACAAAGTTAGATCTTGCTTGTAGATGTGGCAAGAAGTAAAATTGATATTTATAATCAATAATTAAGTACAAGTTGTGTTTAAATATTTTATCTGTTTTGGGAAAAAAGCAACAGTATTTCTCTGCAAATAATTTGAAAAAACAATAAGTTTATATAAATCATTGTTGTATTCTCTTACTTGTTTCATAAAATTATGATTTTGTTTCTTTTTTCAGAACGTGACAATCAGGTAGAGCATATTTCAGAAATGGACAATAAAGCACAGGACCAACAAGTCTCTCCACTACGGCTAGACCATTCACTACAGCACAACTCTTCGGCTACATCCGTCAGCATACCCCCACCCGCTGTGATCCACGCAGTACCGCCACCACCACTACCTAATCAGGTCCTACCTAACATGGTCGCGGTGTTACCCGGCCTGCCACCGTTTAATACTAACCAGTTGACGCACCTACCCCCTCCCCCGCCCCTCGTCTCTACACACCTACCACCACCGTTACTGAGCCCAGGGGCGTTGCCACCACCGCCTCATCCACAGTCTACAGCCCTGGTCACTCAGGAGCAGGTAGGAACTTGTGTGGTGTTTGTGTGATCTCCATTTATTATATTCACTCTACCTGATTATAACGTTGTAGAAAAATTCCTATATAGTATAATGGATTAGTTTATTTGTAATGGGGGTTTATTTGGGATGGTGTATACCCAACTTACTGTTTTCTTTTTGGTCTCTTTTTTTTCTGATATCATTTCTTAAATATGTGTGATATTCCCAAATTCTCATTGTTATTCGAAGGGATGGTTGAATTGTAGATTACGTTGAGCAGGTGCTATTTTTACCCCTTTACTAACAAAATGAATGCTTCCCATATATGATTAAATGAAGGATAGAGATCTCTTTTCCTAACCATAGTTAATTAAAACATTTCAGTTTTGATTAACTTGGATACTCAATTCTTAAGGGAAAAAAATGTTTCAGGAATCATTCATTCAAAAATAAGTTTTTAAAGATATAGAAATTCAATTGGAAATTTTGTTTATTATATAATACATTTTGTGACTTCATTCACTTTCTCAGCTGTGCCCTCTTATTTTCGAAAGAGAAAGATGTTACTGCTTAATTATCCCGAAAAGTCGGTTAAGCATGTTAACTGCCAAGATATGACCTAAAAATGTGCTAAAATTGGTGTAAAAACGGAACAAAAGACATGTAAAAAGAAGCTGTGCAGTCTGACCAGCCACTATTATGTTAGCATTTTTATAAAAAAAATTTAATAAAAAAAATCCCATAGTTACCGTTGTAAATTTAAGACAGGATATGTCTAATTTGCTCTTAAAGAAGTTGTGAAGAAGAAGAAAGCGTGACTAGACCTTTCACTAGAGTTTACAATAATATGTTAACTAACTGCATGTGTAACTGGGGAGATGGTGTTCTTATTTAGAAGTTTATCTTTTCTGAAATTTAGTTTGTTTTTAGCTCACCTGTCACAAAGTGACAGGGTGAGCTTTTGTGATCGCAAGCCAATTTCGTCCAAACTTCACAGGAATGTACCTTTGGTGGTCACCTTTAAAAATGTTCAAAGAATTTAATTCCATGCAGAACTGAAAGAGGTAGAGCTAAGATATTTAGCATGAAACATGTTCTAATGGGTGTCTACCAAGTTGTGTTCAAATAAATGCCCTGGGGTCAAAATTGGCTTCGCCCCTGGGGTCATTGATTTTCCTTATATGTGTATAGCAAACACTTAAAAAATCTTCTTTGAAAAAAACCCTAATAGCTAGAGTTTAGATATTAAGCATGAAACATCTTCTAGTGAGTGTTTACAAAGTTTGTTCAAATAAAAGCCCTTGGGTCAAAATTGGCCCTGCCCCGGGAATCATTGATTTTCCTTATATGTGTATAGCAAAAACTTAAAAATCTTCTTTGAAAAAACACATAGCAAGAGTTTAGATATTAAGCATGAAACATCTTCTAGTAATGTCTACAAAGTTTGTTCAAATAAAAGCCCTGGGGGTCAAAACTGGCCCCGCCCCTGGGGTGTCATTGTTTTAAACTATATTTGTATAGTAAAAACATAAAAAATCTTCTTTTAAAAAACCCAATGAGCTAGAGCTAAGATATTTAGCATGAAACATGTTCTTATGGGTGTCTACCAAGTTTGTTCAAATAAAAGCCCTTGGGTTAAAATTGCCCCTGCCGTGGGGGGGGGGGGGGGCAGGTCATTGTTTTTCATTATATGTGTGTAGTAAAAACTAAACATCATGAAACATCTTCTAATGGGTGTCTTCCAAGTTTGTTCAAATAAAAGCCCTGGGGTTTAAACTGGCCCCGCTCCGGGGGCCTATATACAGGTGAGCGACCTCAGGGCAATCATGGCCCTCTTGTCTTTTCATATTTTCTTTATCCAATCAAAGTATTAATATGTATAATGTAAATACAGTTTACAGGTTAAAATTTTGAAATTTGAATGTATTGATAGTCAGTGATCAAGCATAAGCCAACATGCATGAGTAGAGTCGTAATTAAGAAAGGATTTTAATGTTTTGGAAATATTTTAAGAATTTGCTGACAAAAAGTCTGAAATTAACTAGCATTAAAGTATGTGATAATTTGATGCAATACAAAAGTGTATGATTATTATAATTGTTATGATGATAATTTTGATTACAGTTCAAAAAATACACATGTAAGTTTATATTAGATAAATATCTGTAAACATGTGTCAATGCATATTATAATTTTTACATTTCTTTGTATGTGTTAGATATTTTTATACATATTATTTATTTATAATTTTTCGGTTACAGATCGACGCAGTGAAGTCTCAGCATATCCGCGCTCTGATTGGTCAGCAGAATGTGAACACGTCTCTCTGTGCTAGTCTAGCTGCCGTCTCGACAGCTTTACCTACAACCGGAAGACCAATTGTTAAAGGTTTGTTTTAATATGTCAACTTAGTTAAATCTTTAACTGGCTTAATTTGTGTAATTAAAGTTGCCATGGTTTGAATTTGGTAACTCTCGTTAAAAGTTTATAGCGAATTCAGTTTCAAAATTTAAAGATTGAACTACCATGGGTGTAGAGCCCTGTCAGACTTGTGGCAAAGGCTAATTATTTTTGGTGTCCGGAAGCTAAAAATTAAGGAAATATTTAGAATTACTTCAGAAGGCCAGTAGTAGTTAATGCTAGGTTTTCAAAACATAAATTACAAATCCTGAGGACAAGAAATTTTACCTTATTCTGGCTTTTTCTGCATCACTGCTATTCTTAATTTCGTAGAATATTAGTGAGGAGGGCATGAGTTTAATTATGGCAAATAGTCATGTATAAAAACAGATTTTAACAAACATTACTATGTGAATTGCTATATGTATGACTTCAATACTGCTTCAAGTTGGAGCTTTGACAGAACAAACAAATAATTGAGCATGCGTTTGAGAGGCCTGCGAGTGGTTAAGGTCACCAGTTCCTAATCAGTTGCTCCTTCCAGTTGTCAGTTTGAATCCTGATCTGGACTTTGGATTCATTCATGAAAGGAAGCTATCCAGCTAGCATACAGAAGGTCGTTAGTTCTACTCAGTTGCCTGCTTGTGCTGAAATACTACACAGAGTGGCACCTGAGGCCTTCCTTCACCAGTAAAGCTGGGAAGTCACCATATGACCTTTATACTGACAGTTTGATTTCAAAAATTGAAAATCAAACAAATATTGAATATTGCTTGATCTGTAAAAGTGAAAATTATTTCAAGCTTAAGGCTAATAAAATCTTTATTAAAGATTCACAAATTCATACGAAATTTCAGAGAAGATATTTTTTCTACAAATCTAAAATCAAAGCTCTTAAAAAGTCGGGGGTTTTATTGTTGTTGTTGTTTTCTTTTCTTTTTTTGTTGGTTTAAACATATTTATTTATGCTTGATTGCGAAACAAGCCCTTGCAACTTATATTAATCTTTTTTGAGTCTGCTTCCTGGAACCAATCAGTACTGGTGTCATATGAAGAAACCTGGTAGTGACACGAGTAGGGCTCAAACCCTTCATCTCTGGGTTGAGGGGCATACACTTTAACCACTAGGCCACTAGATTTTCAGAAATCAATTTCTACCTTTATTTTTTAGTACAGTGTGCTTATATTTAATAAATTTAAAACATGGTCTCTTATTTCAAACAGGCAATGTATCCGTGGCACCGCCCATGGTCACGCCCAACTCTAAAGACATGGGTCAGAGACCTATAATGGGAGGCAATACTCCAGTTGTTTCAGCAGTGGACATGGCTAAACTTCTGCAGAGACAAAATATAAGGGGTCAGACTTCCACCCCCTATGCCATTCCAATTCCTGGTAAATATATGTACCTGGTTTTACTATAAATTGATTAAATGCAAACTTGTTCATTGTCATGAAATATAACAAGGAACTGTGATCAGATAGTCTCTCAGAGTGGTCTATCTATAAGACTGTAAATATGGTGTGTGTACGCTGTGGAGTCTGGTTTATTTAATCCAAATTTTGATTTGAATGATCATAGGTCATTATTATAAATTGTATAATTCTAAGTTTGGTTAATAAGATTCAAGGTATAAGATTCAAAGTATGGTTTGTAAAATTCAAGGTATGGTTTGTAAGATTCAAGGTATGGTTTGTGAAATTCAAGGTGTAAGCTTTAAAGTAAGGTTTGTAAGATTCAAGGTGTATGATTCAAATTATAGTTTGTAAAATTCTAGGTATGGTTTGTAAGATTTAAGGTGTAAGATTTAAAGAATGGTTTGTAAAATTTAAGGTGTGTTTTGTAAGATTCAAGGTATGGTTTTGTAAGTTGAAAGATTTTTTACTAAAACAACAATCTGGACATCAGAGCTCTCCCTGTGTTTATACCAGTTGCATTTTTGTAAGGGTTTTATTGTAATTAAATTTAATAGCATTTATTTAAAGGCACGTTATGCCTCAGATACAAGTAATTTTTAACTTGTTTAGAAAGGGGCAAATATGAATTTTATAACATTTTAGAGCATTAAGGTGCTTGTAACCTAAAGAATGTAGCAATAAATGTTAAAATAATTTGTCATATAACAAGCAAATGGTAAACTAAGTAGTATTTTTAGTTCCATACAGAATACTAAATCACTATATTTGTACTAAGAACCAAAAAATAGCAACAGATAAAAAAGATTATTCATGAAATTGGCCAATAAGTAACTACTAAAGGTACACCAAAAAAAATATTTCTAAAAATAAAAGATAAACGTATTTTTGAGGTATAATGGGCCTTTAAAGATTTACATTTTACGAAAAATTAATAATAGCCATAGGTAACGTATGTTGATACATCTTCTGAAGGTAATCAAAGTAGATAAATTAACCTTTATCCTGCCTAATATCTTACATGGACATGTACATCTTTCAGTCTGGACACAACTGTTCATTAGTTTTATTCAAATTTCAAAATATATACTGACTGACTAGTAAAACTGTGGCAACTATGATCAGGCTGATCTTGGTCTGCACTGGTTACATTAGTATATTATGAGCAGCGTCACGACAAAACCAACATAATGGGTTTGCGACCAGCATGGATCCAGACCAGCCTGCGCTGTGTAGTCTGATCAGGATCCATGCTGTTCGCTATCAGTTTCTCTACCTGTATTAGGGTTTGTAAGCGAACAGTATGGATCCTGATCAGACAGCGTGGATGCTCAGGCTGGTCTGGATCCATGCTGGTGGCAAACCCATTATTTTGGTTTTGTCGTGACGCTGCTCATATTCTGTAGCTAAAAGGAGACTGGGGGTTTAAATGAAATATTCAAATTATATTGCTATTTATATGTAACTGTGACATGAAAATGTTTCTAATTTTGAGATATTTTTCAAAATAAGGGAGTGAGGGGAAGAGGAGTTTTATTATGTAATCAAAGTTATTATTAATTATAAAACATGAAACTTGTGTGATAAGTAAGTGACCGGGTACTTCAATTGACCATGTCAAATTAGTGTATAAATTTATTATTGAAAGGATAGATGACAGGTGAAAACATCAAAGTGTTTTATCTACTTAACATACAGGCCTCAAGGCATGGCTGACTTTTTAAATTGTCTCATTGTTTTTGGCCACTTCCTCAAATTGAGAACATGTAACTGATCTGTTAAGATTGTTTCATAATTTGTTGATTTATCACCCAATTTATCATACTGTAAACAATTTGGATTAAAGACACATATAACATAGTTATCTGTATCTCTGTTTGAATATACTAGGCTAAATATTTTGAGAAATTTTGATCCAAATTTAAAACCATATTATACTATATGAATTCCTGTTTATGTTGCCTGTTAACATATTATTCAGTATAGTTAAATAGCTACAGAGAGTTGTTTAATCATGTGCTAACACTGGCTTAGAACAAGGATGACTTGCACGCTCCACATTTAGATAGATTTATTTTGGTATAAAATACATATACATGGACATTAAAAACAATATGTATGGTACAAATATTTAATATACATTAGAATAAATAAGCCATGACATGCACACCAACACCAAGGATAGCACAAACAAGAGAGACTCATATTTCCATTGTGGTCCCTTAACAGATCTAGTCCAGACAGCATGTTCAATTGTTCCTGCTACCTCGCTAGTTGATGTACAGTTTGCTGCATATTTTACATGACGCATTAATGGGACTGCACTGAGATTATTTTATTTTTGATGACCGCTCTGGAAATATTTTTCTGAATGAATGTAAAATTTGATGTACCGGTAGGTTTTCACCAGAAACTTGATGGCAAAACATCAAATTATTCACTCACTTTGTTTTGCCAAAAAAATATTTTTACTATGAAAATGAGCCTTTCATACAAAGTATAAAATAGCTATAACTTCACAAATGGCCAACAGAAAGAGGAGTCAAACATTGTTCAACTTTATGGTCAATGAGTACCTTTTCAAGAATTATAATATAATAGAAAAAAAGCTTTAAAAGTATTAATAAGAACAGTTTTGAGGCTTAATGGGCCTTTAAGAAAGCAAGCATTGTATATTTTTTATTAGAAAACCTGTTCATTGTATGTCCTTCAGTGTCGCAACTAGCTGAATGTGTTTGAAATTATCAAAAGTTCATCAATGATATTTTTTTATCACATATCATAACATGTTGTTTTATAGGTATGTTTTAAGGAAGGTTAAAAAAAACTGTCATGTTATTATTAGTCAGTTAATTTTGTGGCTTATAAAACAAGTGACTAACTTCTATATTTAGTCCTGTCAAATAAAAAAAAAATTAAAAAAAGATATTTATTGATTGATGTGTAAATGAGTATTTAAAATATTGTTAATGTATTGATATGCCTTCACTGATCTGTTTTCCTCCCTGGGCAATGTTTACTATAAAGACAAGACACTTTCAGTGGTTTTGTTAATGAGATTGACATTTATATGGACACGATCACTAATATTAACATATCTTTGAAATAAAATCAGTTTTGAAACTGCTTGTGAGAATTTCTTGCTGGCGTTACTGTTAAATTTTATTTGTATTTTTTTTACAGGTGGTAGAATGCCAATACCCACAAGCCCTGTAGTTGGCCCTCAGCCACCAGGTCAGGGAACCAGTCCTGTTTACATTCATCAAATGGTACCTGGCACTAGTCCAAGAGGTATATACCTGAATGTTTTAATTTTTGTTGATAAATACAGTCGACTCCGCTTATAACGAACTCAATGGGACACAAACATATCTTTCGTTATATCAGAAGTTCGTTAAAAGCGAAGTAGCAACAACTTGCTAACTTGTTTGGATGGGGAAATTTGCCGTGAAGAAGCCATACTTTTCACTGGTTACTGGTGTAACTGGTATTTTACTGCAGCGGTTATTTAATGCGGAGCATTTTATTGAGCAATATATTATTTATGTATTAATTGTCTATGAAGTTATTACCATTTGTTTCCTTTTGCTATTTGTTTATTATCGTTTGGTTAATATTGCAAACACAAAAATTCGATTACTTGGCAATTATCGGGTATTAACAGCAATCAGCTGAGGGTGTGAAATACAAATTTTCCGTAACAAGTAGGAAATTATGTTGTGAGAACATTTTATCAAAATCTGTATTGCCTGAAGCCATAACTAACCTGTGCAGTCATTCGATTGTTTAATTATCGGATAGCGTTATTCATGTACTGATCCTATTCGAGCGCATCCTGATATTTCAATTATAACAGTTTGTTATAACCGAGGAAATTTACATGTTTTCTGTCCTTTGGGGCTTGAAAAATGGTTTGTTATAGCCGAAAATTCGCTATAAGCAAGTACGTATTAAGCGATGTGATTTAATATAAAATAAAGAAGGAATCGGCCGGGGATGTCAAATTTAGTTCGCTATTAACGATAATTCGTTATAAGCGATTTGTTATAAGTGGAGTCAACTGTAAGTAAATTTATAGAAAGTTGTAAACTCTTACCCTACTGACTTTATGTTATAGAGTTTCCCTGCATTATGTATAAAGCCCTTAGTCTACTAGCCGCAACAGGTTCAACCCAGTGCAGACCAAGGTCAGCTGGCACGCCCCCATGCTTTCTGGTCATAGCCGGCACAGTTTGCTGTTCCGTCAGTAAATATTTTGAAACTTTCCCTAAAAATGATGAATGATTTTGTTAAGATTAAAAGAAGGACAGGTCTATTTAAGATGTTTTTTAACATGGTGAGAGATAACGAATAGGCTAGTTAGTGTCACCATTTGAAAGTGAGGGAGAAAAATGTGAGGGAGAAGGGATTTCAAATTTTTTACTTTTATTAAGTTTTCTGGTTTAACAGGAAATTATTACTAAATCATGCAGTCTTTAAGTAAGTAATACCTTTGTCTCAATGTGTTGAATCTCTTTTAAGTGCAAGCAATTTAGCAATAATTAAAAGTTACAGAAGTTGTCTGTGTAAATTTTGCTTTATTTTTGGCTTTTTGTTTATGAATTGGCCAGCAATAAGCAATTTCAGTGGCAAAAGTAAATTTGAAAGCTTAGAAAAAATACTCTTTCTCACATTACTTTTAGATATCACTTAACTTCAGAATATCATAAAAAGGGCACTACATTCACTGTACTGTAAATTTTATCAATTAAATTAAAGTGAAGGAAAATTTTATTTTAAATAAGATACTCTCATGATACACTGGTAGAATATATTATTAGTTTTTTGACAGGTTGTATGGCCCTATATAAATGGTTGTTTGGAAATACCTTATATTGCAAACAAGCATTTATGTACGGCCATATAACATGTCTGAAATATTTATAATGAATTTATAATACAGCAAACTTTCTTTTTAGAGAAAAATAGAGAAAAAATTGAGATTTCTTCATAAATTGACAACAGCAGTGTATATAAAATTATATAAAGTCATAATTATCCAATAAAAAGTGACATTACAAATGTGCAGTATTATTAAAATTGATTATAATGATTGCATTTATTACAGGTTACAATGTCAATCAGTATCCACAATTGACGAGTCTTCAAGCTCAACAGCGTATGATAGATCCTCGCACAGCCCGTTGCCCACTAGTCCAAACATCGTTACCGGGTCAAGGCTTTAACCCACGTACATTTAACCCTCAAATGGGCCAACATAAAAGTATGTATTCAGTTAATGTGATCACACATTTTCCCTTCCCATGCTCTTAAAGTCTGAAATGAGCAAAGACAGTTGATTTGACTCCCTCAATGCTTTTTTTACTCTCAATGGGCCATTTAAAAGTTTATAATTGGTTTCATAAATGTAGATTTGATATGTGAAAATATAATCATTGTCAGATATGTTCAAGTTCAAGATCTTCTCTTCATACAGCTTTTGAAAAGATTTTATCATAGTAAAAAGAAAATTGAAAGTGAAAACATTTGTTTAGACCAGACTTGCTATTAATTGATTTATAAATAAAAAATGATTGAAATATTAGTTATCTTCTTTCACAATTGCAGATGGCCCTATTTCACCTGGTATTCCAGTTTCCATGGTAACAGTTACAAACAGCGGTAACAAGCAGGATCTTATGAAGTGGTTCGGCACAGACATGTTAAAAACTCAATTACCCACAATGCCGCCACTTCCTGTACAAGGTCACGCTCATCGAGTACTTACTCTGGACGAGCTAGAGCGTACTTAAGGGGAGACTATTCTAATGACACTTTAATGTGCAGGTTTCAGAAGACGTTCATCGACAATGTAAACTGTGTATATATTTGGAACAGTTATTTCGTTGTTACCCAAAATATATAATCACACATGACTGGATATAAAAAAATACATGAATATGTGTTTGGGTTGTTGTCCTGGACAACTATAAAACTTACAAGATAGAATTATAGAGGCGCTACAAAATCACATTTTACAAACTTTAGAGAATAGGGCAGGCATTAAGAGGGATGTTTGTAAATATTAAAATTTCTGCAAATCTCGTCAAAAAATAATACATTATGCTGACACGTTCTGAAAAAAACATCAGTTTATCTTCCCTCAACTAGAGTAATGCAGTGCAGATACATCATATATTCAGTCATTGGAAAACAGGTAGAGCACTAATGAAATTATGATCAGACACTGAGATTCCTACTTGCTTTGTTATACAAAGTTTTTGGAGTTTTTAATCGTTTAAATATCAAAAAGTTTGCTGGCCCAAAATGCCATGTAAGCTTCATTTCATGAACAAATTGGGGGGAAAAAGGAAAGAAGATCTTATAACTGGAGGAAAAAGTGAATGATAAGATACGTTTTAGAATTAGAAATGGGAATGAAAAAGATCTTCCTGTGATGTTTGTGGCATTGATCTTTTTGAGACGAAAGGTGTAATTTAAGATAGGCTTTAAGTTACCCTAAATTAGGCCAGTAGTATAGGTAAAGGTGTTAAACTTCTAGGTTTTATATGCAGCTTGGGACAAATTCTGATATCCTTGCAACAATGTAATGAATAAGATAGAAGGGATGTATATAAGGGCTTCTGTTACAAGAATATATGGAAGAGAATGATCATAAGGTTCAAGCTAAGCATAGAAAGATAATGTTGTCCTAAGTATCAAATTGCAATTTTAAACCTTTTTATTTTTATTCATCCAATAAAAAAATTATAATAAAAAAGAAACGAAGTGATTTTTACCCAAAATTTATGCAGACTTTTTATGATTTTATTGGTAAAAAGGGAAAAAAAGTGGAAACAAAAAAAAAGAAAAAAGATTTCAATGTAAAAAGTTTTAGAGTGTATGATTGGTCATGAGGAATTTCAACATCAAAAGTTGAAGTGATAAAATAAAAATAAAGGATGGTCTACTAATACGAGTCTGCAAGAGGTCAGGTTTATCTTACATATATAATGATACTGATAGCTAGCAGGTAGTCGTTGACCAGGAACACGATTTATAATTATAAAAATTAGCCAATCAAATGACATGTTACAAAATAGTTACCCAATCAAACGACATATAACCAAAACTTGGCATTTACATGATACCGACCTTGACATGTAGTATAGAAATATGTTAAAGGCAATTTTTTTGCCTCACACATTTAGTGTAGCATCATCATAAAGTATGATGAAGTCTGAGAAAAACAGATTAGTGCCAGTTTTATTAGGCAGACATTATAAATCTGTATTTGAACAGACTAAAATAGAAAAAGAAATTGTTCTTTCAAACATGCTTATAACTTAGTAATCCTTTAATACAACAGACAAGAAATTACTTGTGTTTAAAGACCTGTTTATTATTAATATATCTGATGAATAAATTTATTTAAAGAAATACATTACCCTGATTGTGTGGCATTTGTTAATGTCAGTTTTTCAAAAATTAAATACATTGAGGATATATTAAAGTTCTGACAGGAGAGAAATGAGCCTCGTCACGACAAAGCCAACAGAGTGCGTTTGCGACCAGCATGGATACAGACTTGCCTGCGCAGTCTGATCAGGATCCATGCTGTTCGCTTACCAACCCTATTACAAGTAGCAAAACTGATAGTGAACAGCATGGATCCTGATCAGACTGCGCGGATGCGCAGGCTGGTCTGGATCCCTGCTGGTCGCAAACGCATTACATTGGTTTTGTCATGGTGTGGCTCAAAAAGACGTGAAATAGTTGACAGCTCATAGCTGTGGACCAAAAATTAGATTATATGTACATACTGTAAATAGTGTAAATACGGTAAAATATAGTGCTGTAATGTAAATATATATGGTACAAAAAATACTTTGTTGTAGACCATTTTTCTTCAGTGTTTAATTTAAACTTTAGAAATTAATGTATATATTTTAATGCTGATTTTCATGCACTGTTGACTTATATTATGAATGTTTTATGCTCTCTTTTTTTTTGTGTGTGTGTGTGTAAATATATGTACTTATGTAGTGGCCCTGTTTGTGTGTTTCATTTATTGTATGCAACTGACTTTTGTTTTGTGAGTAAATAGAGGAATAAGAAATTGATAACAGAGGGAGAAAAAAAAATCCCATGAGTTTGTTTTATGTACCTGTGACTGCCCTGTAGTTTCCTAGTAAATAATGGAAAAAAAAAATGGGGGGGGGGGGTGTATTATATAGTCCCGTTTTACAAATAGAATGACAGATATAAAAAAAAATTGTTCGCTATATTTTCATGTGAATTGATGAAAAATCAGGGTTTTTATGCCATGCCAGTGTGATCTATACAGTGAGTGATATGAATTTTATCTCACTGGTGGTAAAATCCTGAATTTCATTCTTAAACATAAAGAAAATGGATTAATAAAGAAATCAGTGAGTTGTTAACATAGGTTATAATATTACGGGATAAGCTATATTGAAATTAAAAAAAAAAAATTATTTTACTTTTCATTTTGTCTCTCAATTTTTTGGGAGTCTCTATCTTGAAATTTTAAAGGGTTTTGATTTTATTTCATTATGTTGCCCATTTTTCTTTAATTAAGTTTTTTTTGTTTTTTTTCATTGTGTCTTGGCATATCAGTGTAAATAATGGTATTCATATTGTTGTAAATATGTAGTTGTTTTTTTTCTCCGCCACTTTTAATAGTGTTTTTATTCTATTAATAGACATGTTATATTATTTTTCTTTTCTATGCTTAACTGATTTATCGTAAAGTTGTGTGAATTTGGATGGGTAAATGTGTTTTTAAACATGTCATATTTGGTTGATTATAGAACAGTTCTGATCTCCCATGACCCTGCCTGTCCCTACCCACATTCTTCCATTCATTTTTGTGATTTTTTTTTAGTGATCTAATTTACATGTATTTTGTATTATTCTTCCAACATTTCATACCTTTCAAAACTTAGTTTGGTGCAATATTGAAAAAAAAATTATTACATATTTTCTTTTTATAATTTGTTTGCATGAACGTATTTTTTTTCGTGCTTTCCTTTCGTGAAGAATTGGTCAGAAACTTGGATTTAATATATACAATATGGGTTGTGTCTAAGGAACTGGAGGATACTGATTGTGCAGCTATATAAAGATTGGTTTGTCACCTGTAGTGACGTCTTAAAAAAAAATAGGGCAATTTTTTTTTCATTATATTTTAGACAATCTCTCATACTGTTTTTGATCTTTTGTGCAGAAAACATGTGCGTGTCATTTACTTATCAGTTCATACTTTGTTTAGAGAAAGAATCATTAAATCTATATGCTAGAAATGACTTTTGATTATCATGAGATGTGTATACCAATTTTATATAATTTCCAATGGTCAAATGCAATTTCATTTGTGATGTAAAAAGAATACCTGAATCAAATGTGAAGCTAAAAATAAATAGTTTTATAAATAGCTCCTTTTTCCAGAATAAGATTGTTTATTCATAGAGTGAAAAAAAAGCATTCACATCTAAAACTTCATATGGTATTTTATTATTTAATAAACACCCCATTTGTTACTTTTTGGGCAAGGGGAACAAAGGCAGACAGAAAATCTATTTGTACTGGTGAACTAAGGTGATTAACAATTTTCTTATTGGACTACTATGGACATTTGAGAAGGCAGAAGAGTAAGTAGCCACTTGTGAAAATGTTCATGAAAGTTGGCCAACTTTATACACTTTATTGACAAATGAAGTAAATTTAAGTTAGGATTGTCAAAAAGTCATTGTTTTTGGGCATTAAAATTTAATTCATGTAATGTAATTATTTGTGCTTTTTCATTAATGGCTTTTGAAATTTAGTTTTGTTTTTTTCATTTTGCTTTTGAAATTTAGTTTTTGCTTTCTGAAATTAAATATTTTGCTTTTGAAATTGAAATCTCTTTCATTTATGGTTTAAATTAGTTTTTTCTTCTAAGGGGCGTCTTTGGCCAAGTGGTTTAAATCTTTAAAAGTTTACTGCTTTACTTTGGACTATTCTGTGTGAGGAAGCTATCCAGCAAGCTTACTGAACATTGATGGCTTGTGCCTAAAAATAATACATTGAGGATTCCCCGAGGTTTCCCTTCACCAGTAAAGCCGGAAAGTCCCTATATGGCTTTTACATTGCAGATACGACTTATAACCCAACAAAACAACATTTTCTTCTGTAACATGCTGAAGTCTTAGAAGTCTATATCTGTAAATATTTATAGGGAAAATATCTTTATTGGTGCCTAGCATCGTAAAAAAGTTTTGAAAGTAATCTTTCAATGACTCCTTTACATGAATACTTAAAGTAAAACTTGCTTTGCATGCAGAATTTTTTGCTATTTTTTTAAGGTAACCCTTTAGTCAAATATAGCTAAAACGATAGTTGGAAATGGGTCTTTTGTGAATATTTATGTCAGTTTTAAAATAGATCCATTTATTTTACCTTGTTTATTTTCTTCATTTTCTTTCCTTAAGCTTATTTTCCTTTCCTTATTTGACAGGGTTTTGTGTTGGTAGCAAATATGTATTAATTGTAGATAATTTATGTTGTATAAATTTTTTGGAGGCATAATGTTTGGTTTTGGTTATATATGTGTGTGTATAAAAAAAATAATTGTGTACAAAATATTAACTATGTATTACTTGTGTTCATGTTCCTTTTTTTTTCAACATTAAATGTTAATTACATGTCTTTTTTTGTTATTTAATTACATGTATATAAATGTGTTATCTGTTAAAACAATTGAGCAAAGTCATGACAAAACCAACATAATGGGTTTGCGACCAGCTTGGATCCCGACCAGCCTGCGCAGTCTGATCAGGATCCATGCTTTTCACTATCAGTTTCTCTACTTGTTATAGAGTTTGTAAGCGAACAGCATGGATCCTGATCAGACTGCGCGGATGCGCAGGCTGGTCTGGATCCATGCTGGTCGCAAACCCATTATGTTGGTTTTGTCATGACACGACTCAATTACTCTTTAACCTATAACTTGCTGGCAATGAGAGTGATTAGCCCTTGTTACCAGTATAGAACCAGGCCAGCCTACACATCGATGCAGTCTGACCAGGCTCCATACTATTGCCTGAATAACTTCAAATTTTTCATAATGATATTCCCGAATTTGATAATGGACAGTTCCAAAATTGCAGGTTGGACAAGTCCATTTAAGAAATTAAGCAGGTTGTGCGGGTTTACACTTTGATGAAAACAGTGACAATAATTGTTAGGTTGGGTTTTTTATGCCCCCCTTCGAAGAAGAGGGGGTATATTGTTTTGCTAATGTCGGTCTGTCTGTCTGTCCGTCGGTCTGTCCGTCGGTAGACCACATGGTTTCCGCTGATTATTTTGAAAAGTATTTATCACAAAGTCTTCATATTTCACATAGTGATTGGTCATAACTAGTAGATGACCCCTATTGATTTTGGGGTCACTAGGTCAAAGGTCAAGGTCACAGGGACCTTAAATGTCAAAATGGTTTCCGCTGATTATCTTGAAAAGTATGTATCACAAAGTCTTCATATTTCACATAGTGATTGGTCATCACTAGTAGATGACCCCTATTGATTTTGGGGTCACTAGGTCAAAGGTCACAGGGACCTTAAATGTCAAAATGGTTTCCGCTGATTATCTTGAAAAGTATGTATCACAAAGTCTTCATATTTCACATAGTGATTGGTCATCACTAGTAGATGACCCCTATTGATTTTGGGGTCACTTGGTCAAAGGTCAAGGTCACAGGGGCCTTAAATGTCAAAATGGTTTCCGCTGATTATCTTGAAAAGTATGTATCACAAAGTCTTCATATTTCACACAGTGATTGGTCATCACTAGTAGATGACCCCTATTGATTTTGGGGTCACTAGGTCAAAGGTCAAGGTCACAGGGACCTTATATGTCAAAATGGTTTCCGCTGATTATCTTGAAAAGAATTTATCACAAAGTCTTCATATTTCACACAATGATTGGTCATAACTAGTAGATGACCCCTATTGATTTTGGGGTCACTAGGTCAAAGGTCAAGGTCACAGGGGCTTTAAATGTCAAAATGGTTTCGCTGATTATCTTGAAAAGTATGTATCACAAAGTCTTCATATTTCACATAGTGATTGGTCATCACTAGTAGATGACCCCTATAGATTTTGGGGTCACTAGGTCAAAGGTCAAGGTCACAGGGACCTTAAAATGTCAAAATTGTTTCCGCTGATTATCTTGAAAAGTATGTATTACAAAGTCTTCATATTTCACATAGTGATTGGTCATCACTAGTAGATGACCCCTATTGATTTTGGGGTCACTAGGTCAAAGGTCAAGGTCACAGGGGCCTTAAATGTCAAAAGGTTTCTGCTGATTATTTTGAAAAGTATTCATCACAAAGTCTTCATATTTCACCTAGTTATTGGTCATAAGTAGTAGATGACCTCTAACGATTTAGGGGTCATTAGGTCAAAGGTCAATGTCACATGGGCCTTAAATGTCAAAATGGTTTCTGTTGATTTTTCCATAATTGAACACTTCCATGTACCCATTTTTGGCAAGTTTCTGTAATAAAATTACCAATTATGTGAGTCAATTGCTAGAAAGGGGGGTATATGTGTCGTTCGACATTCTTGTTTTTTAGCTTACCTGATCTAGCTTAGGGTGAGCCTTTAGGATCGTTGAATGTCCATCGTCCGTCCACATTTGTTTGTTAACACTCTAGTGGTCACATTATTGCCTCCATCAGCATCAATATTTGTCAGGATGCTTGTCTAGGTAATAGCTCAGATGAGATCAAAAATGGGCCACTTCGGATTATGAACTAGGTCACAGGAAGTAAAAAATGGGAAAAAAATTGTTATCACTAGTGGGTACTGTTTTGATCCAGATATCCTGGAAATTTGTCTGAAAGTTTGTTTTGATGATTTCTAGGTCAAGTTTGAATATTGGTCCCCTGGGGTCAAAAACCAGGTTACACTGCCCAGATAAGGAAAAACCTTGATAACACTCTAGTGGCCACATTTTTTCCTCAGTGGTCAGGATGCTTGTCTTAGTAATTGCTTGGATGATTAACAATCTTGAAAGTTTTAAAATATTAAAGTAATTTATAAAACAGGTGGAAATCTGCTCAATTTATTATCTTTGACCATTAACATTTATCTATCAGAGATCTAATAAAACTGTTAATGAATATTTTAGATTTTCAGACACCCTAATACTTTACTTAATCTTCTATTTCAATTTAAAACTTATTTTTATGCCCCCGCCATGTAATGGCCGGGGCATATAGTGTTACCCTGTTCCGTCCTTCCGTCATTCCGTCCTTCCGTCCTTCCGTCATTCCGTCCTTCCGTCATTCTGTCATTCCGTCATCATCAGTTTCCGTTCATTATCTTAGTAACGGTTGCACATATTCAACTCAAATTTGGCATATGGATATGTCATGAGAAAATACAGGTCAAGTTCGAATTTGGTCATGGTTCGATGATTTTTGGCAGAGTTATGCCCCTTTTACTTTGAAAATAATATGAAATTTTCAGTTTCCGTTCATTATCTCCCCAACGGTACAACACATTCAAATCAAATTTGACATATGGATATGTCATGAGAAAATACAGGTCAAGTTCGAATTTGGTCATGGTTCGATGATTTTTGGCAGAGTTATGCCCCTTTTACTTTGAAAATAATATGAAATTTTCAGTTTCCGTTCATTATCTCCCCAACGGTACAACACATTCAAATCAAATTTGACATATGGATATGTCATGAGAAAATACAGGTCAAGTTCGAATTTGGTCATGGTTCGATGATTTTTGGCAGAGTTATGCCCCTTTTACTTTGAAAATAATATGAAATTTTCAGTTTCTGTTCATTATCTCCCCAACGGTACAACACATTCAAATCAAATTTGACATATGGATATGTCATGAGAAAATACAGGTCAAGTTTGAATTTGGTCATGGTTCGATGATTTTTGGCAAAGTTATGCCCCTTTTACTTTGAAAATAATATGAAATTTTCAGTTTCCGTTCATTATCTCCCCAACGGTACAACACATTCAAATCAAATTTGACATATGGATATGTCATGAGAAAATACAGGTCAAGTTCGAATTTGGTCATGGTTTGATGATTTTTGGCAGAGTTATGCTCCTTTTACTTTGAAAATA